TAAATATATAAATACAAAGTTTTATTTGCGATAGAAAACTTTCACGATAATCACCTTTTACATGCAGTTTTTACTATTTGTATTACATTTTATTATTATACAATTTGAATACAATAATTTATTATGTTTATAAACTCAAGTAAATCTCGAATCATCTCACGTTCGACACTTTCACTGCTTTTATGAATTACAATTGCAAATATGTTGTATAAAATGTATCATTTTGTATTGCTATGTTAAATTAAACTGTAGAGTCTTGTAAGTAAATTTCTAATAAAATACTTCAGATTTCACTTATTGAATAATTGAGATAGAATAAAAAATATATGTAGAATTGTTACATATTAACCTATTTATATATATATTTCTATTTATATATTATATTAAATGCTCGTTAAATTGATGAACATTACGCCTGAGTATATAACTATTAGAATTGTTTTTTCTATTACTGATGGAAGCTACAATGTGTATCTAGGCGTCTTAATTGCATTCGCATTCTTTGGATTCAGTATTAAAAGAAGAAAATCAATACTTTTAATTTAATTGTACCACTTCTAAATATAGTAGGTTCTACTACATATCTCTTTTAACTACAAACTAGTAGTCTTTATCCTAAACTGTTTTCATGTTAGTAGTAGTTTCAACTTAGTAGTTTCTACTAAAATATACCTCAAACCAAAGCAAGATGTCTCATTGCATATATTCCAATATAGATTGCATTATTTATTGCATAATCATATCATAGAATTTGTAAAAAGTCTAAAAAAAATATTTAATTTTTCTCTGTTTCTCTACATTTTCACCAATTTTTGTTCAGAACGAAATTGAAATCTATATACAAACATGCACACATAACACACACACATATATATATTAGGGTGGTCCTTTATATGAAAATTTTCGAATTTTATTGTCAGGGGCTAAATGCTTCCAAATTCATTAAATCTATAAGTTATACCCAAAAACATTTTTAAATTTTTCGAAATTTTTTCCATGTTATTTCAATACAAAGCTCTTGGGAGCAAGGAAATTCGAAAATGTCCATGTTAAGGACCACCCTAATATATATATATATATATATATATATATATATATATATTTCCGAATATAAAATATTTTAAATAAACTGAGCGCTCAATGACTCCAACTATTCCGATGTACAATTGAAAATTAACATAAACAAAATGAAGCATTCAAATTCAAAGGTAAATATATCTAGAGAAGTCTGATGAATATAAAATATTTTTTGTTTTTCTAAAACATATTAGTCAGATAGGTAAATATTTATACGGTAGATATTTTCAGACATTGTTATTCTTTTATTGTTTTATGTAAAATTAGTAATTTATTATCAATTCATGCAGATTCATTGTACCAGTTTAAATAACTAATGGAAAGTATTTAACATTTTAAAAGGAAAATATGAATATGTTAATGAAAACATCATTTCTCCATTTATTGATAACAGCAAAAATATAAACTCATTAGTAAATTTGGAATTACAAATATGTTTCTATAAGAATCGAATTTAAAATATACGATACGATATTTTTAATACCATACTTTGTGTGTTTTACATTGCATATTGCTATACTGAAATTGTTATGATTGTTTTTCTAAATTATAACATTTATAATAAAATGTAAAATTATGGCAGATCATCAGTTAAGGAAACCAGATATTTAAGAACGTAGCTACAAAAAGTATACTTTCTTATAAATATTACCAACTGGGAACATTTCAGCTTTCATGATAAAATAACGCAAAAATTAATAAATTTTCTAAATAATTATTTATTGTTATTCAAAGATTAGTTAACATTGATTCGTTTTCATAAACCTTATAAAATTTCCATGGATTTCATGATGGTTTAACTGAAGACTATCGACGCATTAATTAAATTCCTCTCTGAAAGCTTTTTCCAGCACCATAATAAAAGTCAATTCCATACTACAATTATTTGTGCCGAGAACAATTAATTCCTTGATAGAAATTTTAATCAGTTTGGTTAGATGAGTTGTTATTGATTGATGAGTATCTAGTGCAGTTGAATCATTTCACATCGAACAGCGAAAACAACTTTTAGTTATAGTTGAAAATAGTGATATCATCATTGTTTTTCTCGAATACCTTAAATGATCAACAGGTACGTTTTTATACTGAATAATTTTAATAATTCACTTTTTTTCATATCCTTTTTTAACAATTAAATTCATCCACTTCTGCAACCACCAACGCCTATGTAAATATATTTTTCTAAAGCTCATATGTATTCAAAGCTTTTGTTATTCATTTCACTTTTGTTATTCATTATCCAAATATAAAAGACACAGCTTACACAAGAGAGAACTCATTAGGTATTTACTCAAATGTAAACTTAATTATCAATTTCATCAATATTATGAATGATCCTATAATCAGTCTCATACATTAATTATCATTTACGACCTCTATGCACTCATTTATTTACTTAAGAATTAGAACCCGTTATAATAGTAAATAGGTACTTAATAAATTATATTTTAAGACCATGTTTAATAATGCCATAAATGCATAATAATTAAATTGTGAAATACAAACAATCATACACACTTGAATAACAAAAGTTATAAAAACAGAGTATTATCTTTTTTCCTTTTGATAAAAAAGTTTATAATTTAAAATTTTATAATTCAAAATAAAGAAAATTGTATTTTTTCATTATAATTCGTAAGCTTTATTTTATAAAAATGCCAATATTGGCATGATGAGCTTTTATTTCCTGCTACGCGTAGACTCATATCGACTTTCCTGATAACGCCCCAGGATATTACAACAGTTTTATTATGTTTTTTTACTTTTTGTGTATTTAATTTTAGAATTGTGGAACTAAATACTTATTTATTACGGAATATTTTACAAATTAAATTAGTAAATATAAAATTAAATAATAATAAGCCAATAAATACTAATACCTAAATTAGATAAAGTTTTGTAATCTACAAACATCTTCAACAGTACCCCGGAAATGTCTAGTTATAATAAATATATTACATTACACATGTGCTTTGGAATATTTTTCAATCATTTCAAAGCTCAAAAGCTTTCACGTGTTCACGTTTAACGTAAACATCACGTAATCACGTCACGTTTACCATGTAACGTGTAATTAATGTAAGGAGACACTAAATTAACAATAGAGCGGGGCACAAAGGCCCAATTTAACTTTTAGTAATTATATTGAAAAAATCAAACCGATTTTATCACAACAAATGAAAAATATCAAACAAACAACTATCTGAATGTTCAGTAAAACTCCCTTCTAATTCATCACAGTAAAAATGTGTTTATTTAGATTTTTTTTAAAAATTGTCACCTGTTTATTTTACCTATAGGTAGTGTAAAATGAGACGGCTAGGTGGCAATAGGTCAAAGGTCTCATTTTTAATTTCAAAAGAGTCTTACGAGATAATAGCTAATCGGTTCATTTTTTACACAGATATTATTGTATATAACTTTGATCTGATATTTCTACAGAAATATTCATCAGCAGAATTTAATTGTTAATTTATTTCATCACTTGTAAAATTGCTTTTTTAACTTCCCGTAGGGTAGTAATGGACGAAAAATTGAAAATGAAAATTTTTGCATTTCTCCATGTTTTGAAGGTTTCTGAACATTTTGGCATACCTCAGAAAAAATGGATGTGCGTGTGTGTTTTGTATGTCCGTATTTTTTCGATCACGTTGTCGGGCGCACGGATCAACCGATTTGAATGATTCAAAAAACATTCAATTCCTATTGATAGGGAGATGTGCTGATTAGTTTTTGGCGAAGTCAGGTCCAGCCGTTACGGAGATAAAGAGCAAAGAGTGCAGAATAAAAATCGAATTTTTGAGAGAGACAAGAATTCAATTTGTAATGATTGGGAGAAGTGATTAGTTTTTCGCAAAGGCAGATTCAGCCATTTAGAAGATTCAGAGCTAAATGTACAAATATGGTAGTTTCATAGAGAAATAAGCATCCGATTTGAATGTTTCAAAAAACTAACCGCTTGTGTTGACAAAATAAATGTTTTTGTAAAAAAATGTTTCATTTCAACTTTTTTTTAACGAAAATAATTCAAAATTCAATTTTAATTCTGGTTAAAGTTCTAAAGCTCTCTTATATACTTTAAGTAAATAATTTTAACTTTGTAATTCAGTTTATATAATTATGAATATTAGACGATATTACAGAATTTATAATAATCTGTTTGAAAACATTTAATATTCCTCGAACATTTTTTTACGGTACGGCCAGTTACAGCTATTTGCTTTAAGGCACGATATCATACACCACTAGTTAAATTTAATTTACTTCTCTATTCACTACTTTTTATTGTTTACTTCATTGTCAAGGAAAAAAACAGTTGGTCCTTTTTACCCAACCCAGGTGCTTTTATAGAGGTTATATGAAAAAACTGTTGAATCTATCTTAAAAATGACAATACATCCTATAAGACAATTAAATAACGTATACATAAACAAAACAGCCTAACAACGAAAGAATACACTTTTGTTGTTGCTATTTATCTCCCTATAGCAACATCGTAAGAAACAAGGTAATGGCTGGTTGTGCATATTTTTCCCTCTACTTTCAAATATTGCAGTTAATTTTTTTTAAATATTTACCTGTTCTTGAGATAATATGGTGGTGGACCTTATTACCCGTGGATCTTTGAACCCCGCTCTACCCTACATATCTCAATACATTTTACGTCATTAGATTGCAATATGATTGCAATCATCCCTCCCTGTTCTAATCAAACAATGCAATGATATTAATAATTTTCAGCACTCCATAACAAATTGCAATTTCACGTCGGGCACATGCGCGCAAAGGCTATTTGTTCGCATCTCAGTAAATAAACGTCAAATCTTCAAGCGTAACGCAATTGTTCTAGGTTAGATTTAGTGTAGTTTGCTTCCGAAGCTACACGAGAAAACCACGCCGAATTATTTTTATCTTGAAATATTTCGGTTGATACAGTTCGCAGACAACGCAGAATTAATTATTATAAACAATTGGTTCAGGACTGTCTGTTATTAATTCTGTGACAGAAATGTGCGGCTTCAGTAGAATTTTTTCTGTTATGGGAAGCGTTATAACATAAAATAAAATTCAATTAATAAAATTATTATGGTGTTGTAAATTCGAATTTAGTTTTGTAGTACAGAGTAAGTATCATGCTATGATATTTAATTAAGTTGTTATTCGAATCATGCACATATGCTATATTGTGGTTTGGTGTATCAAGAAATACATAACATATTAATTTCAATTTTCTATATTTTGCTACAATATCACAATAATTATTTTACCTTTAATATATTTATTTAAAAATTTTAAGCCTTAAATTCAAATTCACATAAAATTTTATTGAAAAAACTATTATATTCATGAAATAAATTTGTCATCTAATAAAATTAATATAATGATTCCCAAGTTCATTTATTCATGGGTATTAGCGGATTTTGAGAATTTTAATGAAATTAATTTAAACCAAACACAATTTAAAAATGAATTTAGAATCTGTTATACTCATGAAATAAATTTGCCATTTAATGAAATTAATATATTGATTCCCAAGTTTATCGATTCCTATATATTAGTGAATTTTGAGAACATAAATACGATTAATAAAAACCAAACACAATTTAGAATGAAAATTGGTTTACATTTAACATTGTGTTAAAAACCTATATTCATACAATAAATTTGCCATTTAATAAAATTAATATAATGTTTCCCAAGTTCATCTATTCATATGTATTAGTAGATTTTGAGAATATAAATAAAATTAAGATAGACCAAACACAATTTAGAATGTAAATTGATTCCCATTTAAAATTGTGTTAAAAACCTATATTCATATAATAAATTCGCCATTTAATAAAATTAATATATTGATTCCCGAGTTCATCCAGTCATATGTATATGGAATTTTGAAAATATAAATAAAATTAATATAAACTAAACGCAATTTAGAATGTAAATTGATTTCCATTTAAAATTGTGTTAAAAACCTATATTCATACAATAAATTTGCCATTTGAAAAAATTAATATATTGATTCCCAAGTTCATCCATTCATATGTATATGCAGATTTTGAAAATATGAATAAAATTAATATAAACCAAACACAATTTAGAATGTAAATTGGTCCCATTTAAAATTGTGTTAATTCAAATTTAATCAGTATTCAAACCACGCATTTGATGAAATCCTAATTGCTTACTAAATTCATGTAACTTTTTTTTAATATAAAAGAAAATACCTATTAAAATTTAAGATGCTGCAATCAATTATGAAATATTTTTTTGGAGTTTATAAATTTATTTAGATAATTCAAAGCAACACTATTTTTACTAGAATAGTTATAGCAAAAAAAAGTTAGAAAATCAGCACTCTTTTTGCACTTATTTATTAAATAATTTTAATTTTACTTGTCGATACTAGGTTTGCCTCATCCTCAGTGCTATATATATATATATATATATAATGTAAATAATATATATATATATATATATATATATATATATATTATCTTCTTGCACACGTGTAAATTCATTTCCCCAATCAGATATTAATAGAAAGATCACATTATAGCAAAGTAAACATTTCAAATTTCATTTTTTGGCACATACTTAAATAAACATGTAAATTTACCATTATGACTACTTTCTCTACTCAAGCAAATATTTCTGTTATAATAATTTACTAAAAATAACATTTACACGCCACGATTCCAACAATAGGATATTAAGATTTATAAATTTGATATGATGAAAAATAGTATTTTTCACATAAAATTTTATTTTTATGTTCACTTTTTATATTGAATAGCCTACGTCATATTAATATTTGTGATAAAGATTGAATGACGGCTTATTTCTTTTATTTTCTCGTCTTATAAATATTTGCATGCTATATTCATAAATACCGGTTTTGAATTACCAATGTCATGTGGTATTGTTCGTTTATTATACTTTAATGATATAATACTTCTTTATATAATATTCCTTTATAAAGCTAAAGTTTTTTTTAATTACTATTTATATTATTAAAGATTTTTTTCTTAGATGGCTAAAATGATGGTAATTAAATTGTAATTACGAATGTAGTCATATAATTATTACTTCAAATATACCTATTGTCAATCTTTTGATTTCCTGATATATATATATATATATATATATATATATATATATATATATATATATTCATTGAAAAATCTCTTTTCGATTATTTCTAAAGTTATTACTACTGCTCCGAACATATTCACTATCTATTCTTAAACGCGGAAGCATATATTCTATGATTAAAAATAGGAAGTTCGCTACATAATAAGAAAAAAAGCAAAAACCGAACAAAGATCGTAACATGAGTAATTTATAATATTTTTAATAGATATCTTTTATTAAATAATAATAATCCAAAAATGAAATATTAAAATAACTAACTAGTAACTTTTAACAGAAAGTTTTTCTAACGATTTACAGCAAAAAAGTTCCTATTTTATTATAATTGTATAATCGTAATATATAAGTATATACTTTTATAACATTTTATATATAATATTTTACCGGAACACTTATAAAACGGTAATCAAACCTTGATTGATAGAAAATCGGTTTCCTTAAAAAAATTAATAAGATATAATGTAAGTTTATGAGCAAAATTTGTCGCAAGCAAATAAAAATGAAAACAAAGAAATTTTGTTTTAGTAAAGCATTTACTGAAAGCTTTCTAAATTGAGAATGTCTCTATGATTAAGTGTTAAATAAATATATTTAAATAAAATTTGATTGGTTGGTTTTCCCATTGAGTTTCATCATCATTATCCTACAAGACCATTTTGACCAGACAAAATAATATTATTAACTTCCCGTAGGGCAAGTTATAGTAATCGCAAAAAAATCGAAAATGAAAATTTTTGCTTTTCTCGACGTTTCAAAGGTTTCTGAATATTGTGGCATACCTTAGAAAAAATGGATGTATGTGTGTGTGTGTGTGTGTGTGTGTGTGTGTGTGTGCGTGTGTGTATGTATGTGCGGATACAAATTTTCGTCGACGATTTTGGGAACACCGATCAACCGATTTGAATAATTCAAAAAACATTCGATTCGTATTGATAAGGAGACGTGCTGATTAGTTTTTGGCGAAGTCAGGTCTAGCCGTTCCGAAGATACGGGGCAAAAAGTGCCGAAAACGGTAACTCAGTTTTTAAGAGAACGGAGCGTCCGATTTTAATAATTCAAAAAACATTTTACTTGTATTGACAAGGTGAAGAACCGATCAAATTTTCATAAAGGCAGGTCTAGCGGTTTCGGAGATCTAATGAAAAAAGTAAAAAAAAAATGCCATTTGGCGGTCAAAAATGATCATTAGACATATGCACATCAAATTATCAGATATTTTATAGAGATTTTAACAATAAGTATAATTTTGGTTTACATTTCTATGGGTTCCGTACCAATGTTTACGCGTTAGACGTCGACGCGGCGCTTGCGCGGTTTGATATTTCGTCTTTATGCAGTTAAAGCAGTACGATTGCTTTGAAAAAAAGTTTAGATCTTTCAAAATATGTCAAAATAAAGAAAACATTTTTTTTTTCAAAAAAAAAAAATTAAATTTTATTTTTTCAAAAAAAAGTAATTTTTTGTCTAATTGTTTGTCAAAAATCTTATTTTTCCGAAGTAAATTTTTTTCAAAAATGTTAATCGTTTTTAAAAAAGTAATAATTTTTGGTACGGGAAGTTCCAGCAATTTGCCTCAAGGCACGATGCCCTAATTGCCTTAAGACAGAATTCCACTTACAGCTAGTTTGAGAAACTATAATCAAAATACAATGTTGAAACTCTTATTACATAAAATCATTTTCAGTATTGTATATTTTCTCTGTATTTTTAAATTATGAGGTAAAATCTGGCTAAAAAATAAAAGCTAATGAGTTGTAATCTATCAGCTCAATAGGTACTTTACCAAAATAAAATCTAGAAAAAATTAGAATAATATGTGTGCATCTTTCATCGTGCTTTACGTTTATATAAAGTGAGCAAATTAGAAAAAATGCTTGTTTCTACAGTTGCAATTCGTCATAGTAATGACTTAGTAAATATATTATAATTGCACCGATTAAACATGAAACATATAAAAAAGATTCTGATTTGTATGTTAGTTGGTAAGGATTTATATCCACATAGTTGATATACTATTGCGAGTTTTATACATAATTGTAAATATTTTTTCGTACTAAATAGTTATCTTAAAATTTTAAAATAAATATTTTTAGTGATTATTCACTGTGATCATATACTTTTATATTTCTTAAGTTTGAATGCAGCCTATAAAATTCTTGTAAATATGTTTTAAAATTTGCACAATAACGTTTACTAGGTGTCATTTTAATTATGTGTAGAATCATGTGACATTTGAATTAAATTTTTTTTAAAATGTATTTTTTTATAATGGAATTTTATGTATCTCTTTAATAGGAACATCCGGAAGTGAAGATGCCTGTGAACAAGCATGATGGATACCAAATGGACTTGGACAGTATTTTGAAAGAGTTGGGACATTTTGGAAAATTTCAACTTCTGAATTGCCTGTTTATTTGCATTACAATATTGCTTTTTGCTATGTATGCGATGAGCTATGTGTTCACGGCGGGCGTAGTAAATCATAGGTAAGAATATTAAAGAGAATAAGTTGTAAAATCTTTTTTTCGGTATACATTAACCGACGTATATAATCAAGTTTATCAATTGAATAATTTTTTGTTAACTCCATTAATATTTTCTAAATTAAGATGTTTAGTACCTGACTGCGATGATCCATCGAATCCTGAATTCAAGCCCAGTTGGTTGGGAAATGCGGTGCCTTACGATTGGCGAAACTCGGACTCATCGGCCACCAAATCCTTTGAGAAATGCGAGAGGTTTGCGCGGAACCTTACGGTGCCTCGAGAACCCGAATGCCCAAAAACCATGTTCAGTAGCACATTTGAAACTTGCGACCAATGGGTTTTTGAAGATGATACATCTACGATACAAACAGAAGTAAATTTTATTAATTAATATAGAAACTAAAAATAAAACATATCATGGAAAAATTGAAGCGCATACTGAAAAATATTTGGATTCAAATTGATCATTGAATAGCGACCTAAAACATGCATATTGTATTGACTAGTAATATTACAGAATTAATTTTCATACGTCTCATTAAAATAATATATACTTTTATAGAAAATTGTGTATTAAATATAATTTTTGTGATCAATTTCCATTGAGGTCAAATTTTAGTATCACTTAAACTCCTAAAAATAAATAACTTTGAATTTTATTTTTGAATTTGACTGGGGGCCGTCAATTAATGAGGCTTAATAGAAGGGAAGAGTTTAACAAAAAATCACGAAATATCACGCGAAGAGGTCTAGTAAGATGTCTCGTGTATTTATTTTTGACCTGAATTTAAAAATAATATACAAATCAAAAAGATCCAAAAATTTTAGGGGAAAGTCCCAGAGTGCCGGACACCTAAGGTTATTTATAAATAAATCAAAAAATATTTCACGAAATGTTTATTAAATTATGACTTATGTTAGATAACAAAGTTTGAAATGCTAAACCATAATTAATACTATCAATCAAATTTTGCTAACAAAAAATGTGATTTTACGAAGTGGCACCTAGTACCGGACATTTCAAAATAACCAGCATTGAATACATATGTAGCCATCTCCACACTCTGGAATATCTGCACATTTGTGTTTGACGAAAATTCTTAGATATTGCAAAAAAATCACTAATTATCCACCCTTTTGGCTGGCCATACCGATGCTCTCAGCTGGAGCATTCATCATAAGGTTTTCATTCTTTGATTAGAAAATACGAAAAATGGGGGTATGTAGTGACCGTTAGCATTCATACAGAACAAAATTAAATAATTCGAATAAATTACGTCTATTCTCACAAGAAATATCAATATGTTTACTTCCGGCGCTAAGGGACGACTTAGTGTCCGGTACTAACGGATGGACAATTTCGTTCATATGATGGTACCTACTAAAATTGTTTAAAATATCTAATAATATTCTACCATTTTATAGATAACAATCAAATACTACTTTTATTTTTGAATGCCACTAAAAGATAAATGCATAAATACACTAGAATTACTTCCATTGATATTTAGGTGACGCCGTGTTTTTGCGCCTAAAACAACAAAGGGTTGCTCCCGCCGTGGCCGTGTGCGTCACATGTGAGTCTTGGTGCATGATCCTGCACCTGTGTGCTCCCCGCGCCCCTTTCACTTGTATTTTGAAATAAAAAGATTTATACTCGCTTTAATAATACGAGTTAAATAGAGTGTCCGGCTTCAAGTGCAGTCCGGCGTTACAGAACTTCCCCCTAAGATTTTTTTATGTATTAAAAATACGCGTTATGTTAATTTTAAATATCATCAAGGAGTGAGAAATCCAAAAATCCTTAAAAATCGATCAAGTTATCAATGTACAGCCGATACATATTTATAGCTATCGCAATTGGAACCAGAATTTTTCAGTACTACTTTTAAAATATAATATATAATATTATCAATTAATTAATTATTTACATCTTAGCCTATTTTCTAATTTTAACTTAATGATTTTCAGTGGAATTTGACATGCGAAGATAATGAATGGAAACTTGCTCTTATCGGGACCATAAATAATGTAGGACAATTTGTCTGCTTAACAATGGCTGGAATCGTCTCTGACAAGTAACAGTTTTGTTTAATATTTGCCATATTTGGCTACTCTATTTATAATATGTAAATTTAAAATGGAACGTGTATCTTCCTCAAATAATTTTATGTCCATGTATATATTAATATACACATATAAATTCTTTAACTAATTATAATAAAAGAAAAATGGAAAAAAATGGCATTAGTTCGAATAAATGAAATGAAACTAATATATACACTTATATCAAAGAAGAATCTCTTATTTTTGTAGTTTTTTCTGAAATTTGAATTTCTGAAATGATTCTATTCGTAACTCACTTTTGATATAACTCATGAATAGTATGACTATTTCTATTTTAGATTTGGACGACGTACTGTTCTAGTATTTGGAATAGTTACTTTAGGAATGATAGGTATCGTAAAATCTTTCTCAGTCAATTACTTGATGTTCGTATTTCTTGAATTTTTCGGAACTGTCCTGGGAACGGGATGTTACACTGCTGGATATATTCTGGGTAAAATAGATATAAATGGAATTTTTGTTTAATTCAATCTTGCTAATATTAATATCTTTATTCTTGTAGGAATGGAGTTAGTACAACCTCGCAAGCGTGTTTTAGGCGGTGCAGTCATAACCTGCTTCTTTGCCTTTGGTGAAGCTTTAGTAGGAGCTATTTCATGGAAAACACGCTCATGGCGGCTTCTGCTTCGAATCATACATCCACCAGCTCTGCTGCTCCTTTCATACTTCTGGTTGATACCAGAGAGCATACGTTGGCTAATGGTGAGATATGGATAGAAAAAATCCATCTGCTAAATCAGAGACTATGGTCACAGTTTGATTTTTTTATTCTCCAGGTACAAGGCAGAAGAAAAGAGGTTGCCAAAGTTATAAAAAATGCGGCTCGTACGAACAATGTTGTCTTGTCCGACATGGCTATGCAAAAACTAACACCTGGTTCAAACTCAGATTCCGATGAAACAGAAGACGATGAAAGGATACGAATTCAAACCACCCAATCTTGGAAATCTTTCCTTAAATCAACCCCAATGATACTAAGAGTATTGAACTGTTCTTTTTGCTGGTTTACAAATGCATTTGTTTTCTACGGATTATCTCTTAATTCAGTAGCTATAGCTGGAAACAAATATCTAAATTTTATTCTAGTTTCTCTAATAGAAGTTCCGGCCCATGTTGTAACATATATTTTATCAGATCGATTGGGAAGAAGAACGTTACTTTGCGGAGCATTAATATCGAGTGGAGTTGCATGTTTTGCGTCCAAATTTGTTGCTACAGGTAAGAAATATTATGGGACGATAGGAGAAAATATGAAAAAAATATATTCACTAAACTTTGAATTTTAAATCACTCTCACTGTGATGAAAAGAACTGAAATAACTCTAAAAATGTGTATTAAAAATAATATTTTTTTATGCATTGTTAATTCAGAAATATCAAAAAAAATTGAGTTCTTAAGAAATATTTGAAACAAAAAACTTGTTCGTACTACGTGTTTCAAATTAATTTTACATACAAATAAGGAATTTATTTTACCCCATTATTTTATTATTGCAAGATCTGACTTGGCTGCGCCTGGTGATGTTCCTGTACGGAAAGTTTTCGATAACGATATCATTTGCTATACTTTATGTATATACAACTGAACTATTTCCTACTTCCATGAGGCATTCCATACTAGCGTCGTGTTCTATGTTGGGCAGAGTGGGCTCCATGATTGCCCCCCAAACGCCGCTCTTGGTAAATATTATTATACCAAAACCTTAATTTGTTACTTGTATTTTTTTTCGCTAAATATGTTGTTTAACATTAAAGGCCAGATATATGGATTCCTTGCCCTTGATACTCTTCGGAGGAACTGCCCTTACTTCAGGATCTCTGATATTATTTTTCCCAGAAACTCTTAATATTCGGTTACCAGATACTATAGAGGAAGCAGAAAATATTGGTAAACCCGAAATAAAAACATAGACACCGTTTCAGGTGTGACATGTTGAATTTTAAATTAATTTTATAAATTTATATTTATATTTTTGTAAGTTTTAATAAATTATAAAATTAATATGAGAAACAAGATTATTATAAATAATAAAACAAATTATAGTACCTATAGATATTTCTGTATGTTAAGTATTTAATAAAATATGTTGCATTTATATAAATATATTTTGCTATTATCAAGTATTTATCTTCTGTAATGACATTTATTGACAAAATTCAAATATAAAATTTAATATCAAATATTTAAGGTTCAATATTAGAGACTTTATACATATAATAATTTATTAACTAGCGCGGATTGCAGATATAATTGCATTTAAATATCAGGATACTATGGTTTCTAAAACTCTATACTTCGAGTCATTTGTTCCAAATCCGGTAACATATATTTGAAAACTATAAAACGGCAGACATGTGAGTATTTGTACAACATTTGAGAATTTTTTGCACGACTTTGGACAAAATTGGATATGAACCATTGTTGAATATACACTTTTTCCAATAATTGGATTCACTGTTCCCGATTTTGTAATAACAGTAAATTCATCCTCATCATACTTCATCTGGACTTTAAAATCAATTTTACAGCTTGAATTATTTCGCAAAATTATCGATTTACTCGTAGTATCCCCAATAAATACTGGCCCAAAATATATGTAATCATCAGTACATAAATGCAAATCCGGAAAGTAAATTTCGATATCAAAATTTAAAGTCTGTTTCAAAGATGTTCCTGCTGTTACTGTTATAATTTTATTTAATATTGATGAATTTTTGTTATTCCAATCTGGCCATTTATATATAAAGGTATTGTATAGTTCATGCATGCTTCGCCATGCTATCCACAAATGACGTAGCTCAATTATAGCTTCAAATTCTACTTCAAGTAATTCTGAATTGTGAATAAATGCATCAATATTGTCAGCTTTCACTCTCATAAATAAATCTTGAGATTTGAGTAAAATTATTTTATAAGGATCTTCAGTGATTATATTGATATTGACATCATCTCCTGTATTTTTTATTGTAATTCTTTGACAAATTTTCAAGCTCCTTGAATCAGAACACATTACATCTGTTGCTGAGATTTTAACAGTTGAGTCACAACTAATTATTTCTACTGATACGCTTTTTATTTCAGACTGTGCACGACCAAATAATAAAACAGGTTTAAAAATGCTACCATCGGTTCTCAGCATTCGTGGTTCGACAAATTTATCTTTATCACGAATTCTGATAAAAGCGACTAGACAACATTCCAGGTCCTTACTTTCTGTAAAATCATCCACATCGAGATATCTGGGATTAAAAACAGCAGAAAACCAATTTGTCTTCCCTGGCATTATTTCAGATATTGTTGGAACAATTTGAAATTGATTGAAAACTTCCGTACCGTAATAATCAGTAAGAAGTACGTCAATGTTATTTCCAAATATTCTTCCTTTTCGTTTTTTCTTTTTCTTGATTTCTTCTTTCGAATCCTCATTATACATGTCGACAACTATATTAAAAGGAAATGGTTCTTTCTCTAACAAAAAGTCTTCAGGATCATTCTTATCCATAAACACGTGCCACGATAATTTGACTGGTATATCACAAATATTCTTTACCATAAATCTTTTAACTATTTGTTTATTGCTTTTATTGGAGAACGTTCCAAAATCTATGGTTGGAATTTTCTTATTTTGACTTATAGGAACATAAATAGGGTACCCAGATGCTATAACTATAACTGGTATATGAAAGGGATGTAATCCAGAGACATGTATAGTTAGTACATCATTATAAAAACCCCATGTATTGGCGTAAAATATTATATCAATATTATAACAACCATTTCCTTCTAAATCCACTTCCTTTCTATCCACCGGATAAATAATTAATCCTTGCCCTAGTGGAACTCTATGAGTCCATTCATCATACGGTTGCCCAAATACTACAGCCTGAGTATTATTAACCAAACATGCTTGGTCTGTCGTTTCCAATATTCCATAGTGTTTGATAGAAACTGTAAATGTAGATGAAATGGGCGATAAATTTTTCAATACAATTGTTTTTTTCAGAGGAGTTTTTGTTTGCAAGTTCAGTACTTTTAAATTAATAACATTTACAGATTTTGGTATCTTTCCTTCAGTCGATGTTTGTAATGATGGATAAAGTAACGCAACATCACTTGATGTCATTGGTGGTGTAGCCACATTTTCTTCAGATAAAGCTTCTAAAAGTTCGTCTTTATTTAATGTTTTCACTTCACCAACAGTTGTACACAGTGTTGGTGCATTTGTGATTATTCCTTCAACGAATACGTATTTCCAGTAACTCTGCTTTATTGTCGAATACAATTCTGCATGAAATTTTTTATTTTTCAAATTCTGCTGCATTTCATTCAATATAAATCGGTGATCAATCTCATCATGCAGATGGTGTTCTGAAGTATTTCTAAAGGTTTCATCCAAATTGTGAACACGGACTTCTACTTCTGGCGACATATCCTCAACTAATGTTTGACCTTTTTTTAAAGCTTCTCGCGTTGGTACTCCAGAAGTACTATCATGAATGCCGGTACTGAGTTCACCTGGTAATGGCTGCTCAATTTCATATTCAGGACAAACCCATAGGAGCGTTTCAATTGTAGGTTCACCATTTAAATATTCAACTGGTACAGAGAAAGATACACGTATATTATCCACGAAACATTGCACATGTAAAAAAAGTGGGTCGCTATATCGTCCGATAAAACAGGGGACATAAACCTGGTTTATGAAACCGATTCGTTTTGGCGTTATTTCCACGTCCAATACTTTAGTTTCATTCGGTTCAATTTCGTCTGCCCTGGAAGAAAACTTTATACTTAAAAAATAAGCTTGTGATCCTGTCGGCTTATCCCACATAAATGTTGTAGGTATTTTCCCATTATTTCTTAAAATAATTCTCCCAGTATATGGTACACCAACAAATAACCTCTCAGTTATTGATAAAGTTGGCGAATTAGCTGAATCTCTTATAGAAATATTGGGTTGATGAATAACTGCCCTTATTATGATATAATAAAATTCACATATATTTTTAAATTTTTTCCAACATTTAATTTCTAGAACTCCCAACATTGGCCCGTATCTTTTTGATTGAAGACTATATTTAACTTCGGTAGATTCATTTTTATTTAATTTACCTCTGTTAAGCGATAAATTCTTATCAATGCAAATTTCAAATTTCATTGTTTCAAAATTATACTGGTATTCCGTTAATATCCAGCAAATTGGAGCAACACAAACTTTTTTTATAACAAAAGATTCAACTTTTCGGGCGGCACTTTTTACTTCACCAAAATCAATCAACATTTTTGAAATATTTAGACAATGCTTTTGCGACAAAACTTTTACATCTAGCTGTTGGGGCGGAGAAGAACCGTCGGTTGATACAAAAACAAAGCGTTCATGCGTTTTTTGACAACCATCAAGAATTAAATTCACTTGTAATTGTAAAGAACTAGCTTTTTCTGACATTGCTTGAACTGGCGACAATGAAGCAACAGTTCGATCAATTCCAATATAATTTTTAGGAACCACACATATAAAATCTGAGTCTTCTTTATCTTCTTTTATAACATCTATGTGCTTTGAGTACTCGCGAAAAGCAGGTTTTATCTGATTGTAGATTGAATCTGATGCTTCGCTTATCTCCTTAACAAACACATTTTTTTTAGCCATTGCCCGACACGCAGATTTATTTTTACAACTGTCAGCACATATTGCACCAGGAAACATCGCGCATGGTTTCGTCGGCTTTTTTATATGAACTGGTATTTTTGATCGCTTATCAGATAAATTTAATAAGGGTGGTTCCTTAGGAGCTTGTATTGGACGTTCTTCTTTCACTGGACCTACGGGGCCACAGTATCCTATTGAAATTTCTGTTTTGAAATTAGAAATATTCTGTACAGTTAGAGGAATTTTTAGATTGTCTATAATATTACCGCAACTGATATCTAACATACATGGCTGAACAGATAATCTTGCAGGACTGCACCTAACCCAATTTCTACTAAAGATATCAAGATACTGATGCGATTTGTTTCGGTATTGCTATTGTGTTGAATGTAAGCCTCTGGTTTTACATTAACAGCACTTTCTATGGGAATATTTGTCACATACAAACCAATACAACCTCTGAAATTACCAAATTTTTTAGCATGTACTGACATAGTTAAATTGATTGTTTCATTGGTTTCTATAACCCCGTTTACAGGAGATACTTTTACATCATTTAGGCTAAGATTATTTATACCTGGATTGGCCGATGTCCAACAAATGTTTGGCTCGCGAGCTTCCCAGTAAAATGAAAGTTCGACTGGTCCAACATTTTTTATTGTAAAATTATATCCCTTGCTTGTATTTATAGCCAATTCGCCAAAATCGAGATAATGTTCGGCATCGTTATCACCGTCCATAGTTATGTCGTAATTTTTTAAAGGAATATCAATAAAAATAAAATCACGACTAAATGCCACTCCATCACCCAGCAAGTCTGCTCCACGTATTGTACAATTATCGCATATTATCAAAATCCGTTCGACATGAGCTCCACAAACTCGAGGCAGAAAGACTGTCTGCAAGGCAGCTATACCCCCAGGTGGAACTGAAAAAAATACAGGACATATACAAAAAGGGGGACACAGGAGAAATCCGTCTTCTGTGACGTTGGTTACTGTTGAACGATACCAGTCTTCCTCGCTTATAATAAAAAAACGCCCCGGACCTCCTATATTCTTCACAAGGAGCATAGCTTCTTTAAAATCTCCTAACAAACATGAACCACATTCGATTGATCTGTTTAATACTTTATCTTTATCAGATTGCCTTGGCATGTCAGAAATATCTGAAGCTGTTCTTTTCAATTCGAAATCTAGATCTAAAACAATCCCTTTTAATATTGGTGGATCTCTAAAAGCAATCAAATCTAAATTTAGATCATTACAGTTCTTGACATATATACGAAGCTGCGTTTTATCACCCATTCGATTATTACTTGTAAAATTAATTTTAATATAAACAGGTAAACCAGGTGGCACAATAGGTGCTATGTACTCCAAATTCACTTGAAATTGACTTGTTCCCAGCGAACGTACGTAAAATCTTATACTACGATTAGTTTTATTTCGTAAACGTACAACCTTTACATATTTCACAAATGGTTTGTAATTATGGAATGTTACTGTTGCAGGAGTTACCTCCAATATATCTGATGTATTTTTTGGCTTATTATCATGCGACGATTTAGGCTTTTTAGCTTTATAATGCTCAACTGTGCATTTCATTTGAAGAATACTCTTTGGTACAAAAGTATCTCCATCAAAACCTTTTATTCTTTGTTTACCTTCTTTTTGGTATAACGATAGTTCAGATTGTTCATAGCCTTCTCCTTTTAGATCATCTGCTTTCAACAAATGAAATTTTTCTCTGTGAACTTCGTGTGGACTTCCTATTAGTTTAGGCCTTTTCAAATGCATGCGTTCCATTATGTCAACATTTTCTTCTAAAATGTTCTGGCATATAACATATTCGGCTTGTTTAGCCATGACATTGTATTCTGCGTCATTTATATCGTCCCTGCTGAGCGTTGCAGATTTTCTGATCGCATATGGATTCTGGTCTTCATATGAATCTGTTGATCCCAAAATATCTTGAAAGCAACTTCTTAAAACTGGCGCAACATCTACATAGGGCGGAACACTTTCTTTAGGCAAGAGAGGCGGCAAATTATCAATTATTGCGGTTGGTAGCGGCATGGTGCAATGGTTAAATTTAGTATTATTTATTCCAATGCTTCTTGTTTACATACTCTTGAATATTGACCAAACTAAAAAAACGTTATGGCTTAATAGTGTGCTTAATATAGAATGACATGAAAATTGAGATTGTTTCAAGCATATTGAAGAGAAAAATATGTTAAATATTACATAATGTCAGCAGAATTATATTTATGTATTACTAAAGCCAACATATATACATTCTGTATATTTGGCAAATACTTGCCTTTCCGCTGTCTGGAAGTATGTGTATTTTTACTTTATCTTAAAATATAAAATATAAATAAAACGTTTTATGCAAAAAAAAAAACAAAATTATTAAAATGTCAATAATTTTATATTGACCCGGTGAGGAATACATCAATCCTATAATTAATACGCCAGTAAATTAATGAATTTTAAATGTATCTTAAATTTATTTATACATAAATGAATAAATAAAATTAAATTTAATTCTCCACATTTATTTTAATATTTATATTTTTTTTACATATATACATTATTTTCATATCTCATTATCAGTCAGACAGAGGTGCCTGGTATGAGAGATTATGAAAAACAGTTTTCATATTTTATATATATACATTTCATTTTACTATTTCATTATTATAATATCTATTATAATTAAAATATCTTTATATATAATTCTTCAGTCTTCTTTGTCTTCAATTTCCTTACAGTATTTCTTCATTTTTCTTTTAAATTTATCGTCATCATTGGTCATCTTAATATCGTTTGGCAATTCGTTATATATTTTGCTAGCACTTCATATGATATTTTCTCTCAAATTCTTCTTTCTATTGTGTTCAATGTGAAAATTGTTGTGTTGTCTAGTGTAGTGTTTATCATTATCTTGATTTATGTCTATTGTTGCACTTGTTTTAATTCGGTTAAATTTCATTTCGTGTATCAGTTTGCATTTCTCTATTTTAATTATGTTATTTAGTGAATGATTATTTGTTTCTCTCTTTAAATATTTGGTGGGTGTTAGATGTGGAAATTTATCATTTCGAAATATTTTAAAAGACAGTTTTTGGCAAAACTGTCAACCAAAATATACTATAAATTGTTATTCAACTAGATGTGTATAAGTTATAAATCTTAATTTTGAAACAAGTATGAATTGCATAGGTAATAATAAATTATTGAAATATTTTATTTTCAAATTTCATTTTCAGAATATATTATTTAATAAATGATGATTATGATTGAATCAAACCAAAATTTAAAGTAATAATAATTAATAAGCACAAACATGATTTAACATGCACATTGTTTATGCAATTATTAATATGTTTTGTGTACACAAAATGCTTAAAATTTAAAATTATTTCAAACAGTTTGATTCGGTGCATTACCATTAGGAGAATTTTTCTAAACAAGTCAGAATAAAATAATATAAGTAAAAGCGTTGAAGACATCAGAAAAAAAAAAATGATTCCATTAATCACATTACATTTTCAGGAGAAAGGGCAGTTTGACAAAATATCACATGGGGGAAGAAGTGGTATAGCAAGATATTACGTGTATTTATTTTTTACCTGAATTTTTCTAAAAAAATCCAAACATTTTCAAAAAAAATTAAAAATTGTACTATTTTTTTTTAACTAAAAATGCTCGTAATGTTTGGTTTTGGAGGAGGGTAATTTTGAATATCACCACAAATCACATATGCGCAAAAATTCTTCAAAAATCGATCACTTAGTTAATAGATGCCCTCCAATGTTATGTCTATAATACGAAAGATAAAGGATAAACCAGGCAGTAGGAATTTAAAAGCACTATAAAATGCTGCTAGATCAAAAGTACAAAACTACTGGTTTATGGCATCGTGCCTTAAGGTAAATTGCTGGTACTTCCTGTTCCGTAATGAAATATTTGAAAAATATTAAATGTTTTGAAATATATTATAAATACTGTAACTTTCATTATTTGTATTTTACATAAAAAGTATAGGAGCTTATAAATTATAGACGATGACGTTTATATAAGTAGTCATTAGAATTGAATAAATAAAACATAATCAAGCGGAGGGCTTTATTTCATATTTCTAAGTATTATGTAGATTGAAAGGCAAAGTCAAAATTATTTATCTCGAATATATAAGTGAGCTTTAGAATTTTTTCTTATTGATATATTGTTTTCAAGCCTCAGTCAGACAGGGGTGTCTCCTGGTATGAGAGATTATGAAACAATTTTCATATTTCATATATACATGCCATTTGTCTATTTCATTATTATATTAGTTATTATAATTAAAATATCTTTAATCTTTTTCATCTTCATTTTCCTTTTGAAGTTATTGTCATCACTGGTCATCTTAACATCGATTGGCAGTTCATTATATATTTTACTTGCGCTCCATATGACATTTCCTCCTAATTTCTTCTTTCTTTCATGTTCATCGTGAAAATTTTTGTGTTGTCTAGTATAGTGTTCATGTATATTTTGATTTATGTCTATTGTTTTAATTCTGCAGAATAATAACATGATTTCATTTTGTGTATTAATTTGCATTGTTCTATTTTAATTATGTTATTTAGTGAATGATTATTTGTTTCTGTTTATTTATATGATTAAAGTTAGTAATATTTATATAATTTAAGTTAGAATAAGATTTTAAAACCGAATTATTTTCGATATTCAACAGAAAATATTTTTCAAGGTATGCCAAAATGTTCAGAAGCCTCTGAAACGTAAAGATGTGCAAATATTCTCAATTTGGATTTTTTGACAATTACTTATCCTACGAGAAGTTAACAAGAACTTAAAGATATAAATTAAGGTACCTTTTACAAGATCCAGAGGAAAACATTCTGTTCAGAGCTCGAAGTGTGAATTTTCAAATAAACTTGACGTTTACACTTTCTTTACACTTCTAAATTTACTAAGCATAACTATTCTAACTTAACAAGTCTTTTTTACATAATCTATTATTTTTTATCTGTATTAACTACTATGTTTCTAAAAACAATATAATAATTAAGTATATAATAACACAACACTGACGTAACGAATGTATATTTTACTGTTAAACTTAAATTTGACACTACATATTCTACTAAACAAGTTTAACCCTGCTCCGTGAAGTTGGCTTTAATTAATTTATCCAACAGGAGTGCCACCTCTGAGAGTACAAAGTTTCTTTCGTTTCTTTCTCTGTCAATTGCGACGAAAGTGTCATGTAATGGACGTGCATTAAAGCTGCTTTTCATAAATATTTGCAAAATATGTAACAGTTGTGGAAAAACTTGTGTTCAAAAGTGTAGTGTAAATATATTTTTATATTTTGATACTATTTGCAAATTATTTTTTATTGAAAAAGCGTGAAGTGAATCAGTTACAATGGCTACACCATCTAATGGCAATGGCAATTTAGTAGATGAGTTTGAAGAAGCGTTTCAGGTATTTATTTAAAATATCCACATTACAACCCTTTATGTTATATATAAACGCGATAGATATATTTTATTCAGGATTTTCATTTATACATAATTCTTCAACAACGTTATACCTTCACTTTATGACTAAATCTGTTTTGGGAAATATTTTTTATAGCTTTCTTTTATATTGTGCTTTCAAACTTGTCTGAAAGTTGAAATATTGGATTATTGAATTGCAAAATTGATGAAAACTTATAATTTTTGTATTAAGGATTTGATATAGTTAACAGTTGTAAATGTTTTATGTGTTTATCACATGAAACGCTATTGTACAATTATATTCCTTCTAGTCATGTTTAAATGTGCTAACAAAACAAGAAGCTACACCAACATCTGATAAAGAAGAAATTCGAACAGAAGTCGATACGCTCATTCAGCGATTCATTGATTTGGGGAGACAAATGGAAGCATTTTTTCTTCAGAAGCGTTTCTTATTATCAGCTTTAAAACCAGATCTTGTATATAAAGAAGACAATAATGAACTGAAATTAGAACTTACGAGAAAAGACGAAGTGATTAAAAGACATCATGATAAAATCATAGTATGGCAAAAACTGCTTGATGATTTGCAGGTTTGTAAATTGTAACATAATAAATATATATTTGCTGTGCTACTTTAAATTGATGAACATTTCTAATTTGAATTCTAATTACTAATATTATTTATTTTATCAGAGTATATAAAAAAGTTTTTTTTTTCCTTAAAAGGGTTGGGCTAAATCACCAGCACAGGGTTCAGCAAGTACACCGACTATGTCCAACGGATCATCTTTAACACCTGGTGGTGGAAGCGCAATATCATCACCAATTTCACAATCAGCTGCACCAATGCCAGGTGTACCCGGAATGCAAAGTCCACTACAGGTAAATTCTTCGGTGAGAAATATATTTATTGCTATTAGTACAACTTGAAATTTGATTGAGATAAATATTTATTAATAAAGATTGAAACCACCTTTACATATATTAAAACTGTGAAATTAAAAGTTTACATTTTATTTTATAAGAAGTGTTTGAAAATACTATGTTAGAAAATATTCTGTATATATAATATTGTATTTATTGTAGACACAAATGCAGCAAGCTCAACAGATGCAACATTTGCAACAACAGCAGCAACAGCACATGTTACAACAACAACAACAGATGCAGCAAATGCAACAGCAGCATATGCAACAAATGCAGGTTAGTTTGATTATGTATTTTATTTTCCTTTTAATTACTTCATCTATTTTTTTTTGTACCAATTTCAATTTGTTAATTAATACTGTAACACTCTTATTTACAAAATTGTTGCTAGGTACAAAAAAGAATAACTACAATAAATTTAATATTAAACAAAAAAAGGAGTATAAACAAAAATAATATAAATCAATCTATGGCGTGATGTGTGCCGCATACTTATTTAGAACCTGAGCAGGCATTTGATTAAATGTTTGGCAGGTCACAATGCTATTTCTTCTTGAATTTATCTTTATTGGTCTGTTGATTGCTTGAATTGTTGGATTTTAACCACATTCATTAGGCTGTTTTTGTTGTGCTTTATTTTTTATGCTAATAAATAGTATATTTAAATAAAATCTTTATTATATATTCTGAAATAGTAATTCTTTATTTTGATTGTTGATATGAATATCAAATTTTTATATAATTATATGATTGTGTATTAGCTATTGCTAAACGAAACTATAAATTGCGTATCACTCCTGTTTATTTTTGTACTTAAGGATGCATAATTAAAATTTTAATATATTTTCTAATTGATTCAAAATTCTTTAATTCTGCTAGATTTCCATATCTGCAATTATTTTAAGTGTTTTATATAATTATGTATTTTTTAACATCTAAGTAAAATTATTAACCATACAATTGCTCGAAGAAACTTTTCTATATATGTATTTCCATTTTTTTTCAGCCTTTCAATAAAATGGGTAACAGATAGCTTAGCGATACATGACAATATTCATAAAATTGGATATATATTAATATGCTACGTTGGGATAAATATATGTATATTTATAAATGATAAATTTATTAACGATAAAGCTTTATAATAATGTTAGCGATATAAAAAATCATTATTTTATGATCCTGCTAATACCAGTGACACGAAATAAAACTTATGAAATTTATCATCGATAAATTTGGAATGTTAAATTATAAACATAAAGATATTTAACTATTGTGCATTATTTTGAAGAAGAAATAATAACCAGTGCTTTATTGTAAAGATTAAATTATTAACTACTTCATCAACTGATATGTATACTTGTAATATTAAGACTGATTTGCTTGTAATTTACCAAAACAAATGTACCTGTTCAAATATTGTTTTGTAAAATAACGAACTTTGATAATTATTAAAGTGTTAAAGAAACTATATGGTCTTTATTTTATATGCAATTGCAAAACTATGAGATTTATGGATTTCCGGAAAAGTTTGCAAAACCCTGAGTATATTAACTGCAAGTCAATAATTAAAGTTTGAATTAAGTGATTAACATTTTATTGGTACACTAAATAATGATCCAATAATTCTTTTAAAATCAAATGCAACTGCTCAAAGTTGACACCATGGTTTTTTGTTTTCAGGTTGGAGCAGGGGGTCCAATGGGTGTGAGTCCACAACAAGCAATGTTTATGCAGCAGCAAAATTCTAGAGGGGCATTCTCCCAAGGACCGGGAAATGTACTCCAAGGACCCCTTGCTTATTTAGAAAAAACAACCAGCAATATAGGTAAGCAAGTTTAATTTTCATACTTTGATATCTTTTTCGAAAATTGTTTATGCGTTTTAAATAGATACTGCCTGTTTTTTCTTAATTTTATTGTTCAAATTTTATAATTGAACTGGAAACGATCTATATTTTATTAAGGGTTATTCAAAACAACAATAAAGCAGTGGTTAAATTAGTGCACCGCATTGATTTACTTTATTCAAAACAAATCAAATGTTTATTTGTGAAGTTGGAAACCCATTGATTATATAAATATTTTGCTTTATATTATGTAATCAAAACCTTATTCATTTTTCTTAAATTTTATTATAATTGAATCTTTTTATATTTGTATATTTCACTTTCAATTAGCATGAATGATCATGAATTAATATTAAGTTCTTATATGAGTGAAATTATGTAAAGTTAAGCTCAATAATTGCTTTATTGATCTTGGATGGCATTAGAATTTGAACCGTAACTGCAAACTTATATTTTAAAGGTGGATTTAATTTATGCTCTTGGGATATATCCAGGGCCGGTCCTACCTTGAATGCAATGCATGCAAAAAATGCGGGCGCACGCCTTAGGGGGCGCCAAAACGAGATTCGGAAATGAAATTTATAATATATTGTTCGTTTTTTTAATATGAAATCTAGAATACTTAACAGATTATAATAAACAATCTAACTTAACTATGGATATGTAGAAACAGAATGCATATTCAGTTTGCAATTAATTACTCGTGCAAATTAGTAAATTATTGTTCTGCTTATTATTTAATGAACTCATTAATTTTTTTCTTTGATCGAAGTTAATGTGGAATTGAAAAAGAAATTATCTAGTGTTCAATACCGTAAGCGCAAACCTACGAAAGTTTAAATTATTGGCCATTATTGATGAAAAATTGCGAGGTGATTTAGTTTCAACGGAACTTGTTAAAAAAAAAATAGTTACAAATTATAATAGAAAAAAATGGAAAATGGGAAGTCAGTGCCTAGAAAATGACTATAAGGCCGAGAAACTTAATTGTAACTTTTGTATTTGTTGAAAATGTTTCGCATCTGATTAACTTTGAACTTTGAAGACATGCGTGGTTAGGTTTATAGAAATAGAGCAAATATGAAAAATGAAAGCAAAATGTACTTAGAAACAAAACTCGTGAGCTTTTTTATACCTAGTGTTGTCCATACTAAATTTAAAAAAGTAGAAATAATACAGATACAAATATAATTGTGTTTTGTTTTCGATATAGTTCAGGAAATATGTAATTTTTTTTGCATCTTTTAAAATACATTAAAAATTTAACTTTAAAACAACAATCTGATATTCTGAATCAGATAGGAAATTAAACATGAATACAATTTGGCTTTACAATATTAATAAGTTACTGATGCAATTATGGATATTGTAAATAATGAAAAAAAATTAAAATGAAATTTTAAAAATCTAACATGAAAAATGAATGTTATGATTAAAAATAAAAACTAGTGGGGTGGGTGGCATCGTGCCTTAAGGCAAATTGCTGGAACTTCCCGTACCGTAACGAAACGTTCGAGGAATATTGAATGTTTTCAAATAGATTATTATAAATATTGTATTATTGTCTAATATTTATAAGAATTATATAAACTGAATTGCAGAGTTGAAATTATTTGTTTAAAGTATATTAGAACTATAGTCAGAATTAAAAATAAAATCTGAATTATTTTCGATATACAAAAAATTAAAAAAAAAAAAAAAAAAAAAAAAAAAAAAAAAAAAATGGTACAAAATTTTTTTTTCCAAAATCAATTATTTTGTTAAGACAAGCAGAAAGTTCTTTGAATCAATTGAATCGGACGCTTAGTTCTCTCAAAAACTGCCATTTTTTGTACATTTAGCTCTGTATCTCCGAAATGGCTGGGCCTGCCTTTGCGAAAAACTAATAACCCTTTCTCCCAATCATTACTAATGGAATGTTTTTTAGATAATTCAAATCGGATGCTCCGTTCTCTCAAAAACTCGATTTCTATTTTCTGCACTCTTTGCTCCTTATCTCCGTAACTGCTGGACCTGTCTTTGCCAAAAACTAATCAGCTCTTCTCCTTATTAATAGGAATCGAATGTTTTTTAAACCATTCAAATCGGTTGATCCGTACGCCCGAAAACGTGGACGAAAATTTGTATCCATACATACATACACACACACACACACACACACACACACACACACATCCATTTTTTCTGAGGTATGCCAAAACGTTCAGAAACCTTCAAAACGTCGAGAAATGTAAAAATTTTCAATTCCGATTTTCGGCCCATTACAATAACTTACCCTACGGGAAGTTAATAAGTTTAATGAAATAAGTGAAATGTTTCAAAACCCAAATATTAATATTACATATATGTTAGTAATACTTGAAAATATAAAATATTTAATTATGGTCAACCCGCAAATCACTTCGATTTTCTAAATAAAATTAAAATCAATGTATTTTATACGCTTTTAGATTATTTCTAATTTTTTGTGTAAATTTACGTAAATATTCATATAATTTTGATGATAAATATTAAAACAGTTAAAATTATTGGGGGGGGGGGGGCGCTAGAACAAATCTTGCATGCGGGCGCTGAGGACCCCAGGACCGGCCCTGGATATATCTAAGTATTGTTCAGAAACATAGTGTTGTTATTTACATTATGTGTATATCTACTCAGTGTTTCTTGCAAATATGTAAAAATGTTATGAAAGCGAGTCGATATTTGCCAGTCATCTTTCAAGAGTTTTATTTGGTCAATCGATATCAAATTTGCACACGATTCTTCCTAGACCTAGTGGGTATGGGCGATGGACGCAGGTGACGCGGGCGCGGCCGCGGTCGCGGGCGTGGCCGAGGCAGAGGAAGAGGTCGCGGCCGAGGTTCCTCAACTCCTGAGTACACCGTGTCCTCCACACCACCCGGTGGAGGAACGATTCCTTGAGTGTGGCCTTACCAATCTCCATATCACACCGGCGAACATCATGGTCAAACAGACTCTCCAATGGGACCTTCTTGCAGCGTTAGTAATCCGGAAGCTGGCTGCTCGTGCTCGCACCAGTGCCATCAACCAGATGACGTGGATGATACTGTTTGGTTTTAAGCTGGTGTATATGGATATTGGTTAGGTATTGAAATCTTGATTCTTATGTGAACTCGAGTTTATTTAATTAGAATATTATATTGTAATCGCATTTTATAGGCTGTGGAGATAAACTTCTTGAATAATATATTAAATATTGCCCACATTTGCTCATAATTTGTAGGAGTCAATAACGCAACAGAATGACTTTTGAATAATATATTAGTCATTGACATGAGCGGTGTTTTAAAAATGCTTAGTATAATGGTTAATTCTTAATAGTGAATAAAATATTAGAAAAATTGGTTTCTGGATGTGATTCAATTGATATATTACTATTGAATAGGTAAACAATGAGCTTATTGATCAATGTGCGATATATAAATACACGTTGTTTGAAATATTCATCTATCTCTTGATAAAACTAACTTTTTTGCTCACTTCTTCGTACTTAAAATCTTTGTGTGATTTTTTAAAGTAGAGTTTTGTGCTATATGGATATTTAAACTTGACTTAAAAAAAAAATAGTCAAATTGTTTTCCTAATATTCAACGTACGACAAAATATAGTTCTAATTATTGAGTTAGCATTTTTTTTTAACTTTGATGCGTATATTTGTGTATGTGTATAATAATATTGAAATTCAATTTTAAAACGTTTTACGTTTTAAAACAATTATTGTGATCTGTTATTATTATAATAGTAAAGAATAATATAGTAAAAAAGGTCTTGATTTAATTTAAGTCTTGACAAATTGCTCAAATAATTTAGATATCCCAAACATTTCGAATGTATGAGGGGTGAAATATTTTTAAAATTTGAGTGGTATAATACAATTTTGATGTTGTGAATTGTGATGTATTTTATAAATTATAAGGAAGCTTAAAATAAGAACAATATATCCTTGTGATCACTTAAGCAATTATGGAAACGAATTAGACATTATTGTCGGTAAATATAAGTAGGATAAGAATACCATTTACATATGTAGGTACAACATGTTTTTAAAATAATGTTGATTGTGATACTTACAATTGTTATTTTATTGTGAGTTGAGGATTTTTATCATAAAAATCATTCCATATTATCCGTACTATATTATAATTAGAATTAGGATTTATTCATTAGTGACATAAGTTTTCCGAATTTTACTAATAAGCATTACATTAATGTAACATAACTTATTGATTCTTGTAGTAATTTTTCATGTTTTTAATTAATAGTCTCTAATAAAAATAGATAAAAATTACTACATTCATTTAATTTATTTATATATATATATATATATATATATATATAATGTACATATATATTGAGAATGTTTCATTAACAAGAAATTAACATATACATATTTGTGTTTTAAAATTAGAAACATATGGGATTTTGTATAGTTCTATTTTTATTAAGTTTATAATTTATGCAATTTTTTTTGTAATATAGTTTGTCTTTTTTATCAACAATTTTAGTTTTTACATTTTTCTGGTACATCGTCAGTTTGAGAAATCACCGCGTATCCATCTTTTAGCGTCGAATGTTTCATGCCCGTACGTTTTGCCGCATCTACAAAAATTATCAATAAATAAAAATAAAGTCATTTCAATCAATTCTTGCGTAGTTAAATTTAAGTTAACCAATGTTTCATTGTTAACGGGATGAGAAAGTTATAACGTAGAATAATCAAATGTTTTTGGCTTGGAATGAACCATATATGTTTTTAACGAATTATTTTAACAAATATTTTTATTTACCTATACTTCAATCCTGGTACAAATCCAGTATATCTGGGAACTAAGCCGCTGTCTTCGCGATATATTGGATTTCTGGGCTGTGGCGGATGTTTGATTTGCCATGGAAGTGGCATATCTTCTTCCAATATCGGGGCCCACTGCCTTACCTCGCGCTCGTTATAATTGTTCGTAAAATCTGTCAGGGCACGGCGAGACACTTCTTCTTCCGTACAACCAAACTGCTTATATTTAAATGGCTGGCAATAGGTCGTCCCTAAGTGAAAGAAAACCTTAATTATTTTGATTATGGATCACCAAGTATAATGTTTAATGGTGGAAACAGTTAGACAGTTATTATGTGTACATTAAAAATATTTTGTGAGGAAGTAATAAGCGGCGTCATTTGGTCAAATTATCGTATGTTATTGTCAAACTTCTTTTTAAAATTTAGTTAGTTTAAGTTAATTTTTAACTTTTCTAATCTTTGAGCATTAAATATGCCAAGCTCAAGCACAAAATTCATTTATTAAAACCTAACAAATATTTATAAATTTTAAAAAAGTTTCCAGTTTTTTGCATTCTAGGTTTCAAAATATTCATGTATTTTTTATTCTACATTGTATAAAAATACAAAATTTGTAATATATTTTATTTTATTGCTTATGTTGATTGTCTATTTTTTAGTTTAATACTGAAATAAGTTTATTGAGTTGTGCATGGCATTATATCTTGAGGCAAATTGTGGAAACGTTACGTACCGTAAATAAACATTCCGGAAATAAAAATAATCAATCAATTAATAACAAATATTTATTTTTTTATTATTTGCTTACAAGATACCGCCAACTCAATAGCCAAAGTGTTTTCAAAAAATATTATAGATAGGAATCAAATATACCAAAAGAGGGCAATTGTATCTATTATATCGATATTTTGATACTATTCAAATGGTTTGGTCACCAACCGACGTTCCTATCTATACAATACAGCATTGTTGGTCTATGTTTGTTTAAATTGTGGTAATGATCCAACTACACAGTTCATTTCGTCCCTGGGATTTGTAGGGACCAGAACAAAGGCGTGTTGACCCGGGCGCCGAATGCACCCGGGTCATCGTCGTTGCATGTTCGAGGTCTCGAAGGAACAAGAACAGTTTTATGTTAGTGGTATTAATGATTGTGCTCGACTTCTTTAATTGTGTGTGATAAGTGGGTCTAAGTGCTGCATTCATTTTTGTCGAGTTTCAATTAAGGTAACTTAAATTTAAGTTTAATATAATTATTTCTTTAATTAATAAACCAAATAGATTACAGTATAACCTATTTTTGGGTACTATTTTTTTATGAATTTTTTTTGTGCGTCTGGTTTTTGCGATTTGATTTCAGTACGATTATTATGTGCAGTATATGAATCTTAGCTTCAGTTGCGTACTCATTAAAATTAAATAGTTTTACAAATTTATTAGGTCTAATATCATTATTTTATTTGATTGAACGCTATTTTATGAATGATTCAATGCGGTCTTTATCTTTAGAACAATTGTTATTAATCAATGATTAATTTCTGTTAATTTTTGATTATTTTTTTTCTCGAATGTTTAATTACGGTACGAGAAGTCCCAGCAATTTGCTTTGATGCACAATGCTATGCACCACTAGTTACTATTGTTAGATTTAGATAATACAACCTAAGACTAACAATAATAACTAGTGTTCCATGGCATTATGCCTCAACACAAATTGCTGGTACTTTCTATCTTAGTGTTAGTTTTATATATCAGTATATTTTTTCCTGCATAAATTTAAATGTATTAAATATTCATTTAGGTTCTAAAACTTCAGATATCTGTGAGATTAGAATATAGAATTAATTTTATTGACATTAAACTGTTTTTCTGAAGAAGCGATAAAATCATTCAATTGTATTTGGTAATGGTAAATAATTAAAGTAAAATTATATAAATATTGCAACTGTATTTGGTAAAGGTCGTTCAAAATATTTGGTATATTTTGCGAAATAAATAGCAGATCAGACATCTTGAAGTATCTCATCGCAAAATTTTAAATTTATTTTTATATATTTAATTTTTTTATATATTATGTACTTAGAGTATTCAGCGATCAGAACTACGCGTACAGAGGTGAAAAATTTTTGAGACCGTGAAATCTCAATTCATGAATTGTGAGACTATTATAAATAATAATGCATATAATTATTTGATGAAAAAATATGCCATCATATGACATGTTATAAGTGACTTGTGATTGCATTCGTAAATTACGAAACTTTTTATAATGACAATGCAACAGACGCATATTATGAGAGCCGCACATTCTGTCCTATAACTGTATCGTATTTTCCATGTAACGCGTTAATGCTTTAACAGTACAAAAATTACGACTAAAAATAACATTGAAAATAGACGGCAACTATGTAATGTACGATGAAGTAATAATATAAGAGCGACAATTCCGTTACTTGTTTACTGTACATAATGTTTTCTAATGGTAATTTAATATGTTCCCAGATATAGGATAATTCGAACGAAAATAATATTCTATTATGCTTTTGTAATTTTCATTTTTTCTGTGATCATACAACGACCGTTGATTATGGTAATTGTAATCGCAGTATAGTCGACGCAGCGGGTTAATGTTCTATTCAGTATATCTCCTAGATTTTTTCATTTTATGAATTTGATTGGGATAATTTCATCAATTATATCCAATATAGTGATAGACTTAGTTTGTTTTGTGTGAGAATACGGTATAGAACTTTCATTTTCTGTATCTATTGTAAACATAATAGGATTATCTGATATTCAAATTTCATAAAAATGCGGTAATCTCCGAGCATACAATGCTGGATGTAGATTTATTTAACAGTAAAACAGAGTATTAAATTTTCTCGAAATCTACGAAAATTTTGCATATGAACATACTTTGTAAAATAAATATTAAATTAAAATTAATAATAATAAATATTATAAAATTCAAATAGACTGAAATAGTAAACAATAGTGAATTTTGACATCTTTAGTTTATTATGTATTTTTATAGTATAAAAAGCGCGGTAACAATTTTTTCAAATTTATTAATAAAATAAAGTGTTTTTATTACATTTTATTAATTTTCAAATTTATTTATTTAATAATTATTGAATGCTTTTGTATAAATAAAGTTATCATCATCATGGCTAGAACTGCCCTAGGGCAGATCCGAAGTCCAACTCGATTCATGGAAGAATATTGTAACATATTTCTCATTGGCATTTCACACCTAATCTTTTATCATAACAGTTAAATATTTTTTTAAATTTAAGTTACTTTGTAATCAGTATTTGATTTATACCATAAATATTTTTTTTTTTTTTTTTAACTGACTTTATTTTGTAGATGATATATTTTTAAATTTTAGTTTGTTGTATGAACTCTAGTGCATATGCTAAAACTGTTATTTTTACAAAATTCGTATTTTCATTGATATGATTTATTTGTACTGTACTGTACCTAACACATATTATAATACCCTACAAATATTTTAATTTATCTTTGGTTTGTTCTGGTATCTTTTTAGAGTACATATTTTCGACAAAGGATTGTTAATTATGCCATTGCCAATATTATATAATATTATATATATATATATATATATATATATATATACATACATACATGAAAATGTGTATACAAATACATAATCATATGATTATGTATATGTATACACATGTTCATGTATATATCATACATTTCAATAATTAAATTATTTTATATTTATTACCTGCCAGTATGCCAAATTTACTTATACATAAGTAGATAACCAGCTACATGAGTATAAGTATTGCGACCAATTTACTAATTCTAATGAATACTGATTTAAAAAATTAGGTACTAATTATATATTTCAATCCAATCTGACTTTTTTCATATCCTTTACGAATTCAAGAAAAATATTAAATAACAGCGAAAGTCATAGATAAATGAAAGTGACCTGTTCTCAAAAAGGGTTTTAAGACATGTCAATCACTTTACGCCAAAATACTTTTGTTCTTCAATTTTTTATGTTTTGGGGTTTCTATAACTTCACAATGGAATAAAACTAGTTATAGCAATATTTAGTAAGTTTCATAATGTGTGATCTTAAATACATATTACAGAATACATAAAGAGTCTTATGTATGAATGATAAACTGAAGCCATTATAATCATCTGTATAAAACGCATTCTATGAGCGAATCGGCGGCGCCATGGCAAATATACGATATTAAGCAATCGCGAGGTAAACAATAAACTGATTGGTATCTCACCTGGAATGAAGTATTTATTTTTATTATCCACGCACATGAAGTAAGGTGAAGCATTATCTTTCGGATCCGGAATGTATTGTTTAAAGGGTTCATTGAAACGCGATTTCATTATGCCTTCGCATTCAGGACGAACCTCGTGCAGTTTAGTTTTGAAATCGTTCTGGGTCAACTAGGAAAAGAAAATTAAATAGGATTAATAATAGTATATTATTATATACTAAAAGTAATTTACTATGCTGGGTTTTCGTATTGTTTGGACAGCAATCAGAACACACTTCCTATCAACGCCGTTTTTCAGGAGACATCTTAAGAGTTGACCAAACAGTATATATATGATGTAACTTTATTATTAGAATTGCTGAAGATGTATTCTCAATTTGATACAGTAATGTCTAGGAAAAAGACTAATTTTACTTGGAAGCATATTTAAAACTATATTTTCAAGTAAAAACCAATGTCACCACTGTTTGATATTCGTTAGGTAACTCAAAGACCTTTTCTGGATGTTAGGCTCAAAGTCAATTTGCCTATTGCCACTCACACCGTAATAGGTCAGAGGCATTTTAGGGGTAGTTTTAATCAGGACATTCTTGCATTTTTTAAATTTCTATCGTTTTTAAATATGTTTTTCGTTTCTTTACCATTCTATCATGAAGACTCCTCGGTCCTCCGCTGCCTTTTTGCAAAGCAAGTAAATGTTTGACATCATCTCTTCTTTTTTTATTTGCAGTCCAATGTCTATGATGTTCAGCTATTGCTTGCGTTGCCAAAGTTGGAAATGGAGCCCCAAATCTATCTCCCATTCTAGGTATATTTCCTAGGAATTATAATTTTTAATAAAATATAATGGATTTTTGATATGGTTCAAACGTGACTTTTGAAATATAAATTCCTGAAGATGTTTCTATTGTATATTTGAACAATATTTTGACAATACGGCGGTTAATTGCTCTTTTTTGTATGTGGAAATTATAATAAACCGTTCAACTCGGATGCCTCGGATGTTCGGATGCAAAATTCATATAAATCTCGGAATTTGCGAGTAGAAAGTGTTAAATATGCATATCAAATTTTCACATTTTCAGGTCATTGTCATTTTCTAAATCTTAACCTCAAGTAAAAATCTAATTCTGTTTGGTATCAAGTTGGCCTAGGACCGGAATCGAACCTTGTGCGGCTCAAAATATTATGGCAAATAGTAATCGATTCAATAGCAAAATTTTTATAATTATTTTATATAATTTTTGCAATTTATAATATTGAACAAACAATTTCTTATCAGTATTGCATAAATGTTCAGGTTAATTTGAAACAAATCATGCGGAGTAAATTGTTTGTTCGGAGAGTTATTATCTATAGCTAATCTATTGTTGTGAAGAATATAATAACAAATATGTTGACAGGTTTTTTAAATATATAATTTATGTAGTTTTAAATTGAAAATGCCATAATTATGCTAAATCCAAGATATTTTTCATTGCGTGTGGATCACACTGTGCACTTGCTAATTATGCAGGACAATATTATGCTAAAAAAATAAAATTTTCAAGCGATAAAAATTGTTCATAATTATATCATGATATGTACATCCTATCGAACCATATGTTTATAATTGTCTATAAGTTTTTTATCATTATTTTATAACTTTGATAAGCATTTACACTAGAAACTAATACCAAGAAAATTGATTTTGATGGCCATTTTTGTGCTGACCAAATTTTATGGATTTATTCAAAGTGCACTTTATATACAATGATATATTTAAAGAAATATTATTTTAAATTTTATAGATTTAATGGTTTTATTAGTGTTTTTTCTTACCATCGTATCTTGTTACCATTGGATGTTGAAACAATGGGTCCCCCAAACTAGACCTAGAATGAACCAACTCAATTTCTTCTTTTGTCGGAGCTTCCACCTATTATAAAATATAAAATCAATTACACCATGAATACTCTTCCATAGTTTTCTAAGTCTTCTTCAAGTTTTCCATAAAGAATTCTTAGTATTTAGTTACATACCTGTACATCGCCTCCATCTTGGTCAGACAGAATCAAATAAGGGGCATGGGCTATGGATGAATCTATTAATATTTTATGGGTAGCATTGCCGTAGGTATCACCTTCCCGAAATATGTATTGTGGGCAATAACCTGTGTATCTGCATAGAAAAATAAATTAAAATTACATAACATGGTAATAAATAATAATGGTCACTTATTGAGAAATAAATTTCATGAATTTATTATCTATTGCCTAAGTACGAACGCCTTTTTTAGTGATAAAAAATATGAATTATCAAATTTTTAACAAGCTACTTTTATTATATTAATTATACATATATATGATTGATTATAATGCAAATTATGATTTTTAGTAAATTGTTTGGTATGTTGATACTGAATGAATTAAATTTGTTTTTCTATGAATTTTGTATCAAAAGTCTTAACATGGATAAAGCAGTTTTACATAACACGTTGAATTATGACATGGAATGAATTATTTAATAATTAAAGTGTGAAATATGCTCATGGATAACAAAATATTATTCTGACAAAAATGATGTAGAAAAAAAAATTGTTCCATTAAAATCAGATAAGATTGCGTTATTTATACTAAAATTTTGTAATCCAATTATATTATTAATTTTAATAAAATTACACTTCAAAAATATTCCTTGATATTTGTCTTTCACTCGTTATCAATAATGTTGAGAGCAAATTATTATTTTATGAACACCAGGCTGCCCCTAAGAATGTTATATTTGCTTAATTAATAAATTTAGCTGTTAATTTTGCTACAAATGCAGTCTGTTTCAATATAAACCCTATATATCATCTATTAGTCTTCAGTAAATGATTTTTTTTTTTGTAAGATTATATACATATTTTATATAATATTTTTGCCAATGATTTACTATATTAATTATTTCTGAGAAGTACCCATATATGTAATGAGGTTGAGGAATTGTCAGTAAACTAAACGGGTCCAGTTCTTTTGCCATTTTTGAATATTTCTTGATTATAATTAACAGTATTGAATATGTGTGATTAAATTAATTGCTATTGAAGTGTTTAGGAGATATTGTAACTTGAAAATTTTGATTGATGGTTACATTGTAAATTTGAATTGACGTTTGTTTTATGATTCTGACGTTTGGTATTATTAATATTTTAAATAAATTGATTTGCCTTGGGTTAAAATTCAGTAAATATAATTAAATTCTTTATATTATATTTAAATAATAATGTTATGTCGTTACATATAATATGAATATTAATATACAATATAAATATGTAGCATGATTATGATGATGAACATGAAGGGAGGGATATATTTTATATAAGTGTATCAAATGTAATATGTATATATTGATAAGTTTACTAATATCTGTTGAAAAATTAAGAAAATCTAAAATATAATCAATTAGGATTCCTAATGCCGCTTATAATTTTACAATATTTCATTATTTTCTATATTGGTAATGTTTTTTTTTTTTTTTTTTTTTTATTTATTGGCCTTGCTAACTTGAGCATTTAGCCACTTACTACATTACATTATATTTAATACAATAATTAACTAATTATACTTAAAAACTAATATTGGTAATGTTAAAATCGGTATTTGTAACCAATTTACAGAACTAAAAACTGCTTATTTAATACATTATAAAGTCTTAGGACTAATGACTGAATTATTTTATCTAATTTATTAAAGAAAATGGTTTGCTTCAATATATATTGTTATTTGACTCTCCAGTATTGTTTTTCTACCTGGATATTTATTTTTATGTAATAGCAAACGTTTTAATACAAAATCTATCTATAAGAAGGCAAAATGCAGCAGAGCGTTACCTATTTTAAACGACATAAGGCACGCGCCGTTTCTTAACATTTGCATAACGGAAATACTTTGCAACCAGCAGAAAATAAATTTTATGAAGCCAGTGATGTATTAAAAGGCTGATCAATTATAAGGAATTCGAATGCTAAATTTAAAAATGAATCTTTATATAGAATTTAATGAGTGCACAACTTATAATTATTGATAATCAAAAATAATAACCAAAGATGATACTACATGAAAAAGGAGAGAATTATTATTTGTGGATAATTATAACTTGTGGATAACTATAAAAATATCTAATGAATATCGAGAACAAAACTGTTCATTTAACTATTTTAAATTATTCCTAAACGAAAATGCTATGACAAATTTACTGAAACTCCAAAAATGAAACTTTGTTTCTTATTTTCTTCTGTAAATTTATTTAAAATCTAGATTTATATTCATAGTATAAGAGTACCTATTAATGATGAAGAATATATTTTATATAACTTATAATATTAATTAATTTAAGGGAGCACTATAGTATTTCTCAACAAAAAACGAATTCGCCTGATATGTTTTGACTTTCCTGCATATTTTAGAACTAGTAATGCTACGATGAATGGAAAAACTTAATTAGAATCGGGATCAAATTATTTAAAAATAACGTTTTTTATACTCTTATTTTACCAGCAAACAAAACCTCACATTTTTTGAGCTGAGACGGATGACTTTTTCTTTTATTGTATTTTTAGATGACAACCAAATGGTTGATTCATTCAGATTCAATAATTTTATTATTATTAGAAATCATCTAATAGGGCTGATATATTACTCAATTTGACGCACCAATGTTTGGAAAGGGTTATTTTCACTTGGAAAAATATTTAAGATCTATTTTTCCAAGAAAAACTTAAAATCTCTACTGCTCGATATCGGTGCCAAAAAAATATTGAAAAGTCCAGGTTGTATGGCATTTTTCTATAATTCTTGTTAAAAATAGAATTTCATAATACTAATGGTATTTTTCAAATGCTGCGTGTTGTACATATATTTGTAAACGGTTATTGAAAAAATTATAAACACTTATATTTATCCTCAAGAATAATTATTCTATTTATTAAAACAACTTTGTACAAACTTATATTCTAGACCGAAGTACGTAGCAAGGTGTTAATTCAACAGAATGGTTCGCCTTAGGGGACGTCCAATAATCACGTGATCTATATTTAAGGTTTTTGGACCCCCACTTTTCTTTTGTCACTTAACATTACGTGTATTTTTACTACCTAAAAAAATCGTAAAAAATGGCTTTGTTTTTTATTAACTTTTGAGAAAATATGAATACAAGTGATAGCTTATTAGATTCTTCTTGCCCCACGAGATATTTGTTGATCTTAAGCCTCTCGTACTTAGCACTTATTTGTAAATCTCTCACTGGAGAGATTCGAATACTATAATATTATTTCACATAATTATTCATGTTGTATATTTGTTTTGTGTTTGTATAGATGTATATGTATATGTAATTTTTATGTAATGTATGTTTATTTGTAAAACTTAGCATAATAGCTTATAAAAATTTATAATTTTTTGATTGCTGTTAATAAATATATATAAAAAAAAAAAGCCTCTCGTGATTAATAGACCTCTTAAATGCAGTGGAAGATATAATGTGTGTTAAAATATCTGATTCTATTGAAATTAAAAGTTTGCTATTTATTATTTCAGTTTACTTTGTACACATTATATCATATTCCTTTTTATTTTAAAAAAATAAAAAAAATAAAGGCAAACAACAGTCGTTGCTTCTAAGCTTTGCCAAATAAACCATTCATACAATGTTTTTTGTTGTTGATATCTTATATCCTACTGATCAATGAAAATAAAATGGAGTTGGAACACAAATTTTTAAATGCGATTTGTTCGTTATCATATATTCTATCTACACATTAAAAAGTTCCACCACTGATGATTTAGGATCATTGCACTTCACATTCTAGTAGTTAATACACCTCATATAGAGCATCGTTGAGTTTTGCGACTGTGACTTATGTACCGTAACCGTTCGCGAACCGTAAAGTTTATCGCGGGAAATCATCGTACCAGCGGTACCATCAGACTAAACACATTGCACCGCACCTGGACGGCCAAAGGCAAATTAGGCACTGAACTCCAACACATTTTTACCCCGAGTACTATTTCTGGCTGTAACCGAAACCTTATGGATAAAGGGAAAAAACGTAAATGTATCTTGGAATACCTACTACAATTTTGCACTTAATTTCATTTTTCAAAAAAAGTTGAATGAAGCGATTTACGAACAAAACGATTAATAGACATGAATATTTGGTTATTAAATGCATCTATTATTCACTAGGGCTTGTTCGTGGCTAGGGCGACGGGACCTGGACCTGGACCTGCACCTAGACTTGAACCGGGTTTGATCCCACTTCGAGAATCCCGATGTCAACCAGTGGTGACATCCGTTTTTACTTGGAAATATGGACCTGGACCTGGACCTGCGCCTAAACCTGCGCCTAGACCTGAACCAGGTTTGATCCCACTTTAAGAATCCTGATGTCAACCAATGGTAACATCCGTTTTTACTTGGAAATATGGACTTGGACCTGGACCTGCGCCTAGACCTTAACCTGGTTTGATCCTACTTCGAGAATCTTGATGTCTACCAGTGGTGACATCCGTTTTCACTTGGAAATATGGATAGCAATATGTTCTCAAATGAGAATAGCACTCATCCAGCATTGCTGCATCGATAAAATATTTGTTCTATTACAGAATTTGTAATAATAAAATGTATCACACAGAGAAGAGACAACTGTTTGGGTTGCTATCTGTAAAACTGACGTAGAATTAAGTCCAATTAGCCCAACAGCTTATATGACTTACAAATTCTGATTGCTGTTCAAAAACAATAAAAAAATCTTATATTCCACAATATTTCATCAATAAATATTTTTGTACTCAATATTTCTGTGTTTGTACTTTCTAATTAATTTTAGATGTCGAATCGATAGATTGAACTGGTTTATAAATATCAATTTAGCAGTCAATTACTGAACTTAACAATTTTGTATAATTAGCGTTCTATATATAAATGCAATGATTAAAATTAAAAAACGCTTTTCAAAATAACAATACAAACTTAGAACATTTATATCTTATATATTTTCTCGTATTTCTCATATGATGAAAATATTCGAAAACGACTTATTTGTACTTAATATTACTTTCGTTTTCTTTGTTTTGTTGTTTAAGAGTCTTTAGATATTATTACTTGAATTAAAGTTTATATACTACTTAAAGTGTGCTGAAAAATATAGAACAATGAATGAAATTTAACAACTTTGAAAATTATTTCTCATAAATTTTAGTATTTATTGTTGTAGTAACATGTACTAGTGGGAATAGCTTATTCACGTTATAAGATCAGTGCAAACAATTAAAAAATATAGACACAAACATCTTTATTACATTTAAAACAATTTTGTTGCAATATCTATAATATAAAAATGAATCGCAAAATGTGTTGGTAAGCGCATAACTCAACAACGCCTGGACCAATTTGGACAATTCATTTTTTAAAATGTTCATTGAAGTTCAAGGATGGTTCTTATGAGAAAAAATGGAATAATTGCCGAAAAACACCTAAAAACAGCCCTTTTCTTTTTCACATACAAACGTTATCATTTTCATATTTTTGCCATCGGATACGAAATATTTACTCATATCAAGTCAATGGAGCGTTTTGGTTCTTATTTTTTTACTGTGCTCCAATTCGTATGAAATTTTGAAAATAGGTTTAACTTACTCTCAAGTTCAAAAGTGAAAATAATTTAGACTCCTTTGCCATTTACCGGGGGGATGACATCCCTCTCAGTGGTATAATTTCATTTTTTTTTTCAAAACAATGTCAGATATCAATAAAAGAACTAATTATAAAAAAAAATTTCATAATATTTTTCAAAAAAGGAAAAGCTCATCATTTCATTTAAAGCAGTTGTACATTTAAGATCTATATGGGTGGATGTATTTACATTTCGGTATAGACTGTAGTGTAAAATAACATAATAATTTTTAATTAATTGGTAAATATCAGTATAGGTTATTAAAAAAAAATTGAAACTTTTGAATTGCAAACATAATTACAGGACAACGTCTGTCGGGTCATCTAGTTCAAAATAGATTTTTATAAATCTAATCAATATAATACGTTATGAAACAATCAATAAAAACAATCAATATACTTTAATGAAATAAAATATTTTTAATATGTGCTTATAAGCATTTCATATTATGCTTGGAATAAACGATCGTTCCATATATCAATATCTGCTTTGCAATGATAATTGAATTCCATTCTTAGCTCTAAGAATTGGATTTGCTGCCTGGAAAGCAATTGGTTTCTTTGTCTCCTTGCACAGAATGACTTCAAAATCTTTAAGAATGGATATCAATCCAATTTTTGCTTGTAATTTAGCAAATCGCTGTCCTGTGAAGACAAAATAGTTATATTGTTATAATTCTATATATTATTACATTTTTTATTTACCAATGCACATTCTCGGTCCTTCTCCAAACGGAATGTAACTGAACTGTTTTCTGGATTCCTTATTTTCTTTTGTAAATCGGTCAGGGTCAAATTTCTCAGGCTCTGGATAATATTTTGGATCATGGTGTAATGCATATACGGAAATTACTACCAAATCATCCTTTTCTAAAATCACGTCCGTTTCCGGTAATGTATATTTGGACTCGCATTTTCTAATCAAGGACCCTGATGGAGGATATTTTCTCAAAGTTTCTGCTAAAACTTGATCTAGATACTCCATTTCCATTATCGCGTCGTAACTCAGTTTTCCATCGTTTTCACAGAGAGTTCTGTCAATTTCTTTCTGTAGACGATTTTGTATGTGCACGTTCAAAGCTAATTCATATAAGCAGAAACTCATGGCCGATGAAGTCGTTTCAAAACCGGCAGCAAAAAATATAAACATTTGTGCAGCCAGTAAATTGTCGTCCATTATAAAGCTTAATTTAGAACCAGAAGTCAGATCTGGTTTAATTTGCTCACGGAGATCTATAAGTATTTGTAAGAAATCACCTCTTTGTATATCATTTTGTTTTCTGTAATTTACTATATCCTTGACAACCGATACGAAGAATTGTTCAACTTCAGGATCCATTGATCTCATGTGAAGTTTAGCAAATAACCACGGGGACATTGTTCCAATGCTTCTTTGAATTAAGTGATAAAAACTGCGTTGAAATACTTTATCTATCATCTCCCTGAATTTTGATTTGGAGTTATTGATTGCATCCACATTTATACCAAAAATACAGGAACCAATAACTTGGGTAGTCAAATTGCTGCAAAGATCTTGGACATCAATTTGCGAATCATGTGCAACTAGTTTTTTAACATACTGATTAAATTCGTAACTGAATTCTGTCAATGTAGACATCATAGTCTTCAATTTTGCTGAAGTAAAAGCGGGGGCAAGCTCATGGCGTAATTCCTTCCATTTTGCAACATCCATGTAAAATAAGTTGTCCGACAATGGATCATATTTTATTTTTCTGAAGTTGTCTCTATTAGGAAAATGCTGGAAATCTTTCACTAAAATTTGTTTTGCAAGTTCGAGATCTCGAATGAGCAGTACTGGCGTATTCGACTGATAAAATCCCACGAATCGTTCTCTTGGAAAATCATTATAGATTTTTTTTAGTTTTTCTGAAACATTTTCACGTAGAAGTGTGACGCTTGCAACGCTACCAAAAAATGGAATGGATTTTGCGTATTTAACTCCTTTGTTTTTCCAATGATTAAATTTTAACTCGAAACAATACAAGTAATATATAAGTAATACCAAAGGAACTAAAATTAAATAGTTTGTGAAAAATTCTTCTGACATTTTTAGATGCACCGTTTTGGCACTAAATATTTTACAATGCGCTCATTTCTTTTATACTTCAACTAGTAATTGGTCTATTTTGCAATAATCATTATTATTATTCAAATGATACATAACTTTGAAAATAAAATAGACAAATACGGTTTATATCAAGATTAAATAAGTTAGTAGATATTACTAATTAGGTATTTATTTAAAAAAACAATGTATATATGTTTTATATACACGTTTGTTTATGTATGTATTTATCTACCATGATTGTTTTGTAATTATATCGTATTTAATGATATAATTCTTACAATAATATTTTTTAAACTAAAAAAACAAGTATTTTATTTTACTGAGGCATTTAATTATACCTAAAAATTAAATATACATATATGCATAAAAAATAACCTATCCATTACAAAATATATTAAATAATACTTAATAATCTCTTATGCTAATTTATTAATACATAAAAAACTTAGTCCATTATATTTTTATCAGACCTTCTCTTTAGTCTTAATCGAATTCCATGTTTGGCTCTTAAAACTAAATTTTTAGGGTTGTAGGTCAAAGGTATTTCAGTTTCTTCACATGGAACTACTTCGAAATCTTGTAGAATTGAAATCAAGCCCACTGCTGTTTGGAATTTTGCAAAACGCAATCCTGTAAAAAATAAATATTTATGAATAACTATAAACAAATATGCTTATTATACTAAAAATAAACTCGGTAAAATGTTTAACTCATATACTCAAATAGGTACTTATATGATTTTATTGTTACTCTAAAAAGTCTGCATGGTTCTCAATTATTTATATTAGGTAGCTAAGTTCTAACTATCAGATTATTCAATAGTTTTTTTTAATATCACAATCTAAGTTAGTTTCTTTGATATTTTTCATTTGAACAGCAATCATAATTGTGTTTTTTAAGAATAACAATTATAATAAATATCTGCTAGTTTGAAAATATGAACTTTTAAGTGCAGTCCAGAGCTTAGGTAAACATGTGACCATTTTTCGGTTATTGTGGTAAAATTTTATTATTAGTAATTGTGACCATTTCTAACTCCACAGTAAAAAATAGTCACACAATTTCTCCAAGATTCCAAGAATTAAGACTATTTGTTAAATTAAGAATTTAAAATTTTCGAAATTTGCAGTAAAATTTGTTGCCTTTTATCGTTGTTCAATTTTGAAATTTTTGTGTTATTAGTTCAACAAAAAGTCCACCCCAATAAGCGAAAAATTATTACATTTTTAACAAAGCTCCCGGTTGTATTTAAAAGCTCATAAATTCAAACTAAGTGAGAAATTTTTTTTCATGATAGATATGATCAACAGTATCCCGTTGCGTTCTGGGACACCCCGTATATTGTAGTAACGCTTCGAATAGTTATATTCACATAAATATCATATTTTTAGATCTATAATTTGATATCACTACTGCTTGATATCAAGCTGGCCAATTTAAAGTTTTACTATTCGAATAAAAAATATACGAATTTCAAATTCTTATAATTGTCAATATCTGGGAACATGAAATTTTAAATTCCCAATGGCAAGTCCAGCCATTAAGGTCCTAAATAAAATAAATAAGTAAATTTTAGGAGATACGGAGCAAAGAGTGCAGAAAATAGAAATTTGTAATGATGGAGAGAAGTGGTGGTTAGTTTTTGGTAAAGGCAGGTCTAGTCGTTTCGGAAAAAAGAGAGTTTAGACGAAACGATTGCTTCTGGGGTTTTTTTTTTTCATTTTTTTTCTAATTTGAAAAAAAATTTTTTTCTAATTCTAGTTAAAGTTCCAAACATCACCGATATACTTCAAATAATAAATTATGACTTTGCTATTCAGTTTACATAATTCTTATAAATATCAGACAATCTCTTTCATTTTAAATCCGCTTAATTAATTTAAATAAACGCTGTAGTCCAACAAGTTGTAGTCCAAAACGTTGTAGTCCAAAATATAAGCTCTTATATTTTGTCTAAAAAAAGAAGAATATTAAAAGTTACAGTATTTATAATAATATATTTGAAAACATTTAATATTACTCGAATATTAAGTTCGAGTAATATTAAATGTTTATTAAACATTTAATATTACTCGAATATTAAGTTCGAGTAATATTAAATATTTATTAAACATTTAATATTACTCGAACTTAATATTCGAGTAATATTAAACATCATTAAGGTACGGGAAATTCCTGCAATTTTCCTTAAGGCACGATGCCATACACCAATAGCCATTGATTTAGATGTCATTTTCAGTTGAAGATGAAAATATGAAATAGCTCAGGTAACAATCATAGGGTTGCCTTCATAGCTCAGGTAAAGAACCACAGCAACAACTTACAGAACTTTTAGTTCTGATTGCTGTTCAAAAACGATCAAATAACAAAGAAAGAAAATATACGTGTCTATTAAGTGATTTCAATTCAGTTTTAATTAGCATAAATTAAATGTAATGCACGTTGATTTAAACGCAAGTCACGTCATCAGTTCATGATTCATTGCAACAATCTTTATACAGGTGATGTATGCGAACTACCGAACAAAACAATGGGATTCTTTTTATCGTCGAAGTGTATATGTTTAATGTAATGTTATGATTAGTATTCACTTGGTGAAATAAAACAATGCGCTGATAACGTGCATTTGAACTTCCGACATCATTAGCTCATTTGCGATACATACTTGTCACTTGGGAATCACAAATCGAAACTTAGTATTTAGAGCATTTCATATGAAATCGGAGTTAGTAATATGTCATATATAATAATAAAGTCATATATCAATCAAGATAGCAAGCGGTAGTGATATTAATCTAGATCAAAATATGTTCCAAATGTTCCAATATTCCTAGTACATACGCCTAGTATAGGGTGGCACATTCAAAAATTGGAATTTATTGACAGCAACTATATCCATATATGCGATATATGGAAAAAATTAAGACTTTTGAGACCTTTCTAACGATGTATAATACCTTATATGTTTTCTTTACAGAAATATCTAATCCGTAAGATCACTAGATCACTAGGACCACTAGATGGACCACCCGTTATATACAAATTTCCAATCAATATTATTTTCTTTATGTATATCTTGTTAGCAGTCTCTGCTTATTGTTTCTATATAAACTCAACGCACAAAAAAGTTAAATAAAAATTATTTTCAAGTAAAAAAAGCTTTCCAATCTAGCGTAGCTACAATAAGTTCATATTTATCATCCTTATTATAAAAGGGACAGCTATCAAGTTGCCTCATAATAAATAAAAATTCTTCTAAAAACCACGTGGTAAAGTTCTTAGTTCTGATTGCTGGTTAAGATTAAATAGGTATTAAAAAAAGTAGTTTTAGGTTTCATTTAGCCTTGAGGCAAGTTGCATGATCTTCCAGATACGTGTAAGTAATTGACTTTTATTAACGAAGTTTGGAAGTAGCTATTTAGATAAATGTGACTGTACAAAATGTGACTGCTTTTACTAAATGCGAGTTTAAATTGATATTTTTGAAAAAAATAATATCTGCAATTGTATAAATTAAATTATTTTTTATCATACATTTCATGAAATAAGATGTATTTTTTCAAGTAATCAGTAGCTAGAAACAACAAATTCTTCGGCTTAGATTCTGATTAGAATCGCTTAAGCTCGAAATTCTAAGGCTTGTTGAATTTTTATAATTCAACCACTTATCGTAGGCCTGTAACATTTTAGATTAAAGCCAGATAGTAATACTATAAGTTCTGATTGCTAAAAATGTCAAAAACACAAAATAACATCATAAATCCTCAGGAATAAATAAAATATCGTCGTCATAAATTATTATTTTTACTTTCCAAAACTATCTAATTGGGTATTGCTAGCAAAAAATTTTAAAATTCACATACATGTTACATATACAAAGTTCATCTGAACACAATAATTTATTTTACAATTTAAATTTTTGCAAGAAAAGCAACGGAATGTAGTGCAAAAATATAGCTTTTTTTTAAATGATTATAAAGTAAAATAGATTATAAAGTAAAATAAATTGAACAAGTAACTGCATGAACAAATTAATTGATAACAATAATGCTTAAAAATACTAATACTAATTTAGATAATAATATTAATGAAATAATCATAACAAGGTTAGAATTGATGTTGATGCATTTGGAAAATTTCTTCTGATTAGAAGCTTATGGGGTGATCATTTATTTATTCGTTTAATTATTTATTTATTCAAAAGCGTATCGTAATCAATGAAGTTAAATTTTATTTCAGAATCTTGTCAATATCATGTATTCTTTTGATGTACTTTGTATATAATAATTTCATTTGTTCATATGTTCATTTACACTTTCCTGGTAAATACGGTCCAGGGCACATTTGAACATATTTTGGCTATGTAGCGCAATAGTATTTGGTTTTATTTGTTAAAAATAGTAATGATGTTCTACAATTAGCTAAACTTTTTATTAAATTACTAAATATTATTTTTATTAAAGTATTATACCGTTCAAAAATTGAAAAAAAAGTTTAGTATTAAGTAAACACACGGTGTGCAACATAACTGTTCAGTATTATTGTAAACTGATTCATTAAATATTACACCGTTTCTATTTAGTTAATTGCTATGTACATGAACTGTTCCAACAGAGATATGTTATGATCACTATTTTAACGTTTTTATTTACTTAGCTCTGCTAAATAAAATATAATCTATTATCAAAGTAATTCACGTTACAAGTGAAGGAAACTAATGAGGGCAAATAATTTATCAGTGATTATGACAGTTTGGTTTAAAATTTCTGTTCAGTACTTAAATTTGGAATATACCAATATGTGAAAAAATTCAGAACAATTAACACCGACAGCTTGTAAAATGCATAACTTTCTCATGGCATACTAGTGTGGCTACATAAATCATAACACATACTAATTTTATTCATTTATATTATTAAGCTGGACAATTACTTTCTGTATACAATCGAACGATCTGCAAATGATTTACTAATTGTACTAGCTACTTATAATTCTTAGATTAAAATGCTTTATTACCTCACATGCACCCACAAATTTATTTTATAAAATGTTCTGATTCTTTAAAAATTTATCGATTGAGTTTCATATTTATACATTACCTATTAATAGCTTCTAGTGATCCATTCAACAATATTTTATACATGCATTTAACATATTCACTGTAAGCAATATTATGAAAAGAAGATTTAAATAAATTTTATACTTACCTATACATATCCTCGGTCCTTCGCCAAACGGCAGATAGCAATAAGGATGTCTAGATTCCTTGGCTTCCTTCGAAAACCGTTCTGGATCAAATTGCTCAGGACTCGGAAAATATTTTGGGTCATGATGTAAAGCATGCACTGGTATTATGATAGAATCACCCTTTTTCAATGTTATTTTTGTATCAGGTATTATGTACGGTATTTCACATTTTCTTATCAAATTTCCGGCAGGCGAATGCTTCCTCATTGTCTCACTGATAACTTGCTCTAGATATTCTAGTTGTAAAACACTTTCATAACTTAAATTCCCATCATGTTGTTCCAGTACTTCATCTATTTCTTCGTGCACTCTTTTTTGAATATCGCAGTTTAGTGCTAGTTCATATAGACAAAAGCTCATTGTTGTGGATGAAGTTTCAAATCCAGCAACAAAGAATACAAACATTTGGGCTGCTAAAAGGTTGTCATCCATTTTAAAGTTTAGTTGTTTATCTTGGTTTATTCCTTGCAACTCTTGCTCCTTTAAATCCATTAGAATTTGTAAAAAATCAGCTCTCTTGACATTGTTCTTTGTACGGTAGTCTAACATATCTTTTACTACAGTCAGGAAAAAATTCTCAACCTCTGGAGCTATAACCTTCATTTTCAAAAGTCTAAACAACGCAGGCGTTGTTGATCTAATAAATCTTTTCACAAACACCATAGGACTCGGTTCAAAGGCTTTCTTTCCCATTTTCCTAAATTCAGAATCAGGATCCTTAATCGAGTTTATGTTTATTCCAAAAACGCACGAACCAATCACTTGAGTCGTGAAATTGCCGCTCAAATCAAGCATTTCGAATATGTTTTGTTCGGCGGTGATTTCTTTCAAGTACGAGTTGAATTCTTTTCCGCATTCCGCCAATGATGCGAACATGGATTTCAGTTTCCCAGAAGTGAATGTTGGTGTCAATTTGTGGCGTAGATCTTTCCACTTTTGTCCTTCCATGTTGAATAAGTTTTCGGATAGTGGATCCAGTTTGTGGTTGCTCACGATTCCGCGGTTGGGAAAGTGTTGGAAATCTTTGACGAGTACTTGTTTAATTAATTCCGGGTCTCGTATGAGGAGTACGGGTTTTTTGGATTGGTAGACTCCTATGAAGGGTTCATCGGGGAAGAGGTTGTATAGCCTTTGCATTCCTTGACCGGTGGTGGAGCGCATCAGCATGATGTCTTTTACGTTTCCGAATATCGGTACTGGTTTCTCATGTTTGACTCCTTTTTGGGCCCAGTATTGAAAGTGCTTCTGCGTGTAGAAGTATAAAAAAGCGACGATGCCCAGTGGCAATATGAGTATGTATTCCAACATGATGCTATGTCTCCGAAGCGAGCTAGCCGACTGAATACTGAATTCGTGCAAGTGTGTGGGTCGCGCTCTGCGCGGGTTATGTCATAAATGACCGATGCAACCGATGGAACCGATATTGAGACTGCATAGTATGAGTAATCATCGTTCACAGATTAACATTGCGTGTGGTCCATCCAATTACGACGACTCTAAACATTGTTGTCAATGACACAAACTACAAAATATAATACATGTGTAATAATACAGAAGTATACAGCACAATTGGAACAATAACGTAAGTATGTAAACATATTCATTGCTGTGACCTTCGTTAATTTTTCAAATGCCGTTTGCTTAGTATTCAATACAAATCAAATCTGATATTTTACAAAAAAATTATAATTAATTAAAATTAATAGGAGTTATCAAGTTTTTACTAATAACAGAATTTAAGTAATATTATTAACTATCATTTTTAAAATATATTTTTATTCAAATAAATTTATGATTTGAATTATTTTATTAACCAAATAAAATAATATATAATTAATTTTCCGTAGGGTAGGCTTTAGTAATCGCAAAAAATCGAAAATTAAAATGTTTAAATATCTTTACATTTCAGAGGTTACTGAACATTTTGGTATACCTTAGAAATAAATTGATGTGTGATTGTGTATGTGTGTATGCATGTGTGTTCGGATACAAATTTTCGTCGATGATTTCAGGAACACGGTTGAAACGATTTTAATAAATCAAAAAACATTCGATTTCTATTGATAAGGAGACGTGTTGATTAGTTTTTGGACAAGGCATGTCTAGCATTTTTCAAGATACCGGCAAAATGTGCCAAAAACGGTAACTCAGTATTTTCGTAAAAGAGTCAAATTTTAATAATTCAAACAACATTATACTTGTATTGACAAAATTACGAGCTAATTAAACTTTTTTTTCTGAAAACTTTATAAAAAGTTTAATTTTTGATACGGAGAGTTCGAGAAATTTGCCTTAAGGCACGATGCCATACACCACTAGTTTACTAATTTATACGTTAATTCATTACTAAACTCTTTAAATTTACTCTTAACTATTTATGCTAATACCGATTAAAAACTGGTGACTATATAATTATATAAATAATTAAAATTAATTATATTATATAAATATTATTTTTTTGTTTTTAATTATTTCAGTGAATTATAAACTAGTACTGTTTTATTTATGTCGGATACAGAATTAGAAATACTCATTACAGAAAACAAATTATCATAATTAAATTAATAGGAGTAAAGTACAAAGCTGAATATTAAGCGATAACACTAATATTAAAATTTATAGATAATTAATTTAATGAAATAATAAATTTGAAGAAAAATGCTTGTGATAGGTGATATGTTTAAGGCACATAATAAAATGTTCTGTATTCAAAATAGGTAGATGTTTTAGGATTCTTTTGTCGAAAAAAATCTCTTTAAATACGCGTTTCGTAATTTTTTTTAAAACCTAAATCTGGAAAATAAACATAAGGGCTGTATCAAGAACAGAATAAATTATGAAAATGTTTATTATGATAAAAATCTTAGCGAGGAAAAGTTAAAATAATTTTTAATAGAAAATTAGAAGTAGAAAAAAAGAGAAAAATAATTGGAACTGTCGAGAAAAAAATTATATCCTATTTTATTTGTAAGCATTTCATTAGCAAAATATAGTTTGATTCCGAAATTGAAAAATTCAGAAATTGGGGGTGTTGTAAAATTGATAAACTCAAATTTCTAACCTGTAGTGGGAGCAGATTAAAAGGCTGTATTCCTAAGACATCTTGGATTAAAGATAGAAAAGATAACCCAAGATAATCGAAACAAGATAATTTAAGATTGGAAAGATTTAATGGATTTAGTATCTTTCATAGTAAACATTTGGCTACTAATAATGAAATATATAAACAAGCACTACTTATTAAAAATGTATTATTTTTTTCAAAGCATTCTCGGATACTTCTTACATATGTATATATAATATACAGTATTGAATGTGCAAAATTTATATTGATGTATGATAAATATATACAATGTTTATGTAAATTAACAAATTTCCTAGAACGGCGCTTTACAATATTGTATTTTTAGTTTATATATATATATATATATATATATATATATATATCTTTTCAATTTTTTACTATTACAATTATGAACAGTTATTATATATAAAATAAACCTTTAGAATTATAACTAATTTCTCAAAATTTGTGATCAATAATAATAAAATTACATGGAAATTAAATGCAATTTAACAGAATTCTTAAGAAATTGTAAAATGTAAAATTCCGGCTACTCTACATGATATACTATTATTTTATCAGCATACATATATTTGCAATTACTAATTGCTATATTTATAAAAAATTGATTTAATATAGTTATTTTGTATTAAATATTAAATATTTATTTCACAAAAAAGTTATGTGTTAAAATTACATATGGTAAATCAAATTCAGTAAACATTATTAGAAAAGTTCAAGAAGAAACTGGTTTTTAAAACTGGATTCTATTTGTATAGTAAACCCTCTGACATTTTTCTATTTACATATGTAAAATTTTGTGGATATGTAAATCACAATGAATGCTTTTTTCAATAATTATTAAAAATTTCTGTAGTTTATTCTTTATTTTAGTTCTGTTACAATTTGATATTTTCTCAAGTTTTGGTTGTGTTTTATGTTATTAAAGCATTTATATTTTATTTCTACTGCGCACTAAATTACTAAGCAATCTACAATTAGAAAATATGACGAGGAAAATATTTATCAATCTTAACGATTGAGTCATATACTAAGAACATTACAAATATAGTTATCTAATGTAAACACTTATATGAATTCTTTTGTTAAAATTTAATTTCATTAAGTGATATTACTTGTCAAAGATTTTATCTTTAGAAACTGTTTGTGTATGCTCTTAAAAAATGGAAAACGTATTTGCCAAATATTTGACTGAAAATAGTAATAGACGAGTAATAAACACGTATTAACCTGAAAAAATTTGAAAATTTAATTTTACGAATGGACAATATTTGATTTTTTTTATTTTGTTTTTTTTTTTTAATTAATATATTTGTTACAACTGCTAAATAATTAACATCTAGTAACAGTAATGAACAATTATATACATTTAATAAAAAGAGCACAAAATAAAGGCTAGAATTTTCAATAAAATGATTATTGATGTTGATTTAATATAAAATGTATGTTGATTTAATATAAAATAAAAGCTAATAATAATAATAATAAAATTAATAAGTAAATAAATAAAATTTCTGAATAATATTTGGTAATGATTTTCTGTTTTATCACACTACCAATTTTAGTCAAATTTTATAAGTAGATATATATTTTTAGATTTCTAAAAATAGGATAAGATATGCCATGGTTAATTCTTAGTACTTGATTCGTTGACAAATAAAAAATTTAGCACCATAAGTTCTCGAATTATTTAAATAAAATAATAATAAAAATATTAGCACCATAAGTTCTCAAAATTATTAAATTATTTTTGACCAACATTTATATAGACACAGTTTGGAATATCTAAATATATTATTAAGATAAAAATAATAATGTTTTACTACTTATTTCTTACATTAAGATAATACTATCTTAATTACTTACTCATTTATATCATACATGTGAGCAACTGAGGATAATTTTAGTATAGTATTACAAATTACATATCGAATTTCTTTATTATATCTTATTTTTCTAATTAGTATAATTAACTTCCCGTAGAGTAGTTATAGTAATGAGCCAAAAATCTAAAATAAAATTGTCTGCATTTTGACGTTTTAAAGGTTTCTGAACATTTTGGCATACCTCAGAAAAAATGGATGTGTGTGTGTGTATGTATGTATGGATACAATTTTTCGTCCACGTTTTCGGGCGCACGGATCAACCGATTTGAATGGTTGAAAAAACATTCGATTCCTATTGATAGGGAAATGTGCTGATTAGTTTTTAGCAAAGGCAGGTCCAGCCGTTACAAAATTACGGAGCAAAGAGTGCAGAAAATACAAATCGAGTTTCTGAGAGAATGGAATATCCGATTTGAATGATCTAAAAAGTATTCAATTTGTAATGAGTGGATATATACATAAATAGTGGATTCAATGTACAATAAAATTTATTGTTCCAAAAAATACACACAATATAGAGTAACTCGTCCTTTGGTAGAATTTGCAGTCTAAAATTCAAATTATTATAAATTTAATTTATAATAATTAGAATAATTATCTTATTATAATAATTAGAATGATTTTTGAATTTAACATTAATAATTTTAAATATTTATTCACAATATTTATTTTTTTGAACATGCTGAATGCAGAAATAAAGTTTGCTTCCTAAAAATGGAAAGATTAATTATTTTTGTGAGGGGGTTAATTTTAATATATCAACAAAACATTGACTTAATATTTTGTAAATTATATTTGGCGGTATTCATTTAAATATTTTTTTTTATTTTTGAAAAAGGTAATAATCATTTTTAGTTCTAGTTTAATGCATTTAATCCTAAAAAAAACTTTTAAATAAATAATAGCAATTATTGAAATGATAAAATTAATGTTCTTAAATTTATCATATACCTTTATAGTTGTTTTATTTTGTAGTACGATGATTCATATTTTTTACTAGAATCACTTTCATCAAAACAATTTTCTTTTTCTTCAAGAAAGTTTATAAAATGTTAGAAAAATAAATCATTTACCTCGCAAGCAATCGCTTTTACAATCTATTTTAATATAGAAAACTTGTCCATTAATAATTAAGTAAATATTGATTTTCATTACCTTTCTCTTGCCATTGTGGGCTAAAATAGGTAATTTATCGTTCATAATACAAATCAAAATGATTTTGCGGTGACTTTTACAATAACACCATAATGGGATTTGTGGCAATTTATAGTTTTCAAACTTTCGAAACAAGATCGAATAAGTAGGCTGAAAAATAAACTGATTGATAACTTAATTGATTTTATAGAATTCGATGCAAAATGAAACTGACTACCGAAAGAAA